ATTAGCTTTGCAGACGCACACTATCAGGCGTTTGTGCTGACCTCGTCATTTCACACAGAGGAGAGGACCCAGGGGAAAACATGCCCAAGGACTGAATCCTGCCACAGAGCAGGGGAGGTGTGGGTGTGTTCTTCCTCAGCATTTCACAGCAAATGCCCCATCCCCATCTCTCTTGTGCTCACGTCCCAGCCCAGGGCTGCTCAGAGGACACCTCAATCTCTCTTTGTTGCTGGAAATAGTGGCTGCTCTGTCCTCCTCCCCAGGGAGCCCAGCTCTCAGGCTCCTGGGAAATGCTTCCTGGGTGGGAGAAGAAGCCTTAATCTAGGCGCCTTGGACCTGTCAGCGTCTGTAGATGCTGCCTCAAAATCTGGCCTACTAAAACCCCAGTTCCCTAAGACCCTAGCTGGGGCTCTGAACCCCTCAGAGCCTTTCCTCAGTGGAGGCTGCTTCCAGGACCCGCAGGCAGCCTGACGCCCAGGTGCAGAGCCAGTTTCAGAGGCAGAGGCCTTCCAGCCCCACAAGGTACCCCAGATCCTGTGTAAACCAGACTCAGGAACCACTGAGCATCGGGGTCAGGCACATGGATGCTTCCAGAATGCCCGGCAAAAGCAGAGCTACCTTTTCTTTCTTGGTGGCCTCCATCCTGGCTCTGTTGTCCAGCATCTGCACAGCAGCCTGCCTGAGGAGCTGGGACCCTGTGCTGTCCCCCACCAGGCTTCCAAAGCAGAGATATCTTGGCTTCTCAAAGCAGGGTCACGGCCAGCCCAGGGCCTCCGGAAGAAGATGGTCCACCTCAGGCTGGTTGAGGGTTTGAAGTTCACAGTTTCCTCCTTTTCATTGTCTCTTCCAGCCCCTCCCCCTCGGCAGCTCCCTCAGGCCAGATATTCTCCAGGCAGGGCCAGGGAGGTCTCAGGTGCGTCCTCACGCAGGTTGGCTTTCTCTGGCTCTGATGAGCAGAAAGGACTTGATGGCCTCTCGACAGACTCAGCAGAAAAGGTATCTCCCCTCCAGCGGGTTTCAGACAGCTTCTGAGTAACGAGGCTGCAGGTGACTATGTCCCACACGCCCCAGCTTGCTTCTCTGGCCCTGTATTACTCACTACTTCCTGTTCTAGCCAGGTACGGAGTAGAGGACTCTCCTTCCAGGGCCTCTGCTCTTGAGAGGGCCCATGGTCACTATGGTGACCAGTCTGTCATTAGAGCTGCCATGCAGAAAACTGGGACTGATGGCAAAAGGCCTCCATCCCCATCACCACGGTGACCGCTCTGTCACCTTGTCACCACAGTGACCTCCAACCTAATAAGACAGTGCCACCTGGGCCTGGGATTTAGCTCAGTGGTTTTGCCACCTGCTGCGCAAGTGCAAAGACCCGAGTTCGATCCCCCCGGTACAAAAAAAAAAAAAAAGACAGTGCCACCTGCCCAGTTCCCAGGCCAGTGCCTCAGTCTCCTGCATTCACGTCTAAGGAACAGAGGTGTCTGAGGACTAGAAGGAAGTAGCAGAGGCCTTGGCGGCCAGCACCGTGTGTGTGCAGGGCCCCTCCGGGAGCTTCTCACTGCCTTCCCTCCAGCCCACCCTGAAGCCTGAACCACAGCAGCCCAGCTGGCTCGACACTTCAGGACAGAGGCCCACAGGGACGTGTGCCCTCCCTGCCCTGCCCATGAAGCCTCAGCCCAGGATATACAGCCTCACCTGGCACCCCCGGAGAGGTCAGCTGGCAGACAGAGCAGGAGGCCAGGGTGCTGGAGGCTCTCCAGGTTCTGGCTCGGGATTCAGTCTGTAGTCTGGACCCAAATGTGGTATTTCTGGTGAGGGACTCAGATCTGGTGTGTATTTCACACTTACAGCACTTCTTAATCAGGGCTGGCCATTTTTCCAGCACTCCATGAGGCTGGTGGCTACAGATGGGAGGGTTTGAGGTAGAGCAAGAGGACTCAGGACCAAGCCCTGAGCCTCTGCTATCCTGAGGTCCAGTTGGGGGCAAGGAGGAGTGGCAGTGAGATCCCACCAGATGGACACTGGTCTTTTAGGATCAACCTCTTATTGACCGGCATGGAGGCAGTTTTTGTTTTTCACTGTTACCAACGGTGCTAGAAATCTTAGTATTTCACTGATTCAGTATGTGCAAATGTTTCTTCCAGATGGTTGCAGAAGCTGAACTGCTAGCTCAAATGCTGTGTGTTTGCATTTTGGCAGACAGGACTACACTGCCTCTTCAAATGGCTTCACCAATTTATTAGAACTTCTGCCCACATTAGGAATATGGCTACATCCTGGCCAGTCTTGGAGATGACAAATCTCTATGTCATTCCAACGACCTCCTTGCTGTTTAAATTGCAAAATGCTGGGTACTCTTTCAGATGTTTATTGGTTATTGTGTTTTTTAAACAGCAATTTGTTTGTATTATACCTATGTTGCTATTGAACCACTTTCTACTTACTGATTTGTGGAAACCATTTTCATATTTGTCTAAAATATCTATTAATCATTTGTTTGTCAAATATGCTATATCTCCCCAGTCTATGGCTAAACTCACAAAACTTGATTAACACTGTCTTTCATACAAAAGTATCCATTTTGAGGGATTTCAACATAGTTTTCTCATTTGAGGGCTTCATGTCTTGTTCAGAAAATCATTTTTCACTCCCAAATTATGAAATGTCCTTCTAATATCTTTCAAAAAATTAAAAAAATATGTTCAACAGCTAGGTGAGGTGGCATATGCCTGTGATCCCAGCACTCTGGGAGGCTGGGGCAGAAAGATCACAAGTTCAAGCCTAGCTGAGGCAACTGAGACCCTGTCTCTGAATTTTAAAAAATAAATAAAAAATAAAAAGGGCTGGGATGTAGCTCAGGGTGAAGGCCCTGGGTTCAATCCCCACTACGGAAAACAAACAAACAAAAAAACACTTAAGTTTTTCTGAAATCATTTGTGTCTGGCATACCCAGCCATTCTGAGAACATGGCTCATGGTCTTACCTTTCTTCCAAATCTCCTAATCTGCTTTCAGAAGCCCTGGAGCAAGGTTTTGTGGACCCTGTGAGCTAGGAGACCACTGGTTGGCCAGCACTGATTGGCTGAGGCCTGGGCCAAGTACTTATTTTGTTCTGATTGGCTTAGGCCTAGGCACCTCGTGGCAGCAGAGCAGCATGGGCTCAGCCTGGACCAGAGGCCTCCACGCTGTCGAGTGGCTTCCTCCTGAGGACTTGTCCCCTGTGGTTGCTCCCACTGTTTATTGGGTTGTGTTTGGTGCGTCCCACTGCCTGACAGCACATCTCTTTTTTTCACTGTGATCATTAATTGTGATAGATCTCTTGACTTAAGTAACAGTTGCCTAGATTAGTAAGCTCTGAGTGTGTCCATGGATGACGACATGTAGGTCGCAAACTGAGGAGGGAAGACCTACCCCAGATGTGGGTGCCACCAACTGAGAGGCTTGAATCCCAAATGGAATAAAAAGGGAAAGAGGAAAGAAGTCTGCCTTTCGTCTTTGGAAGAGCTCTGATCTTTGCCATTGCCTTTGGACGTTTGTCTCCACTTCATTCAGGCTTCCAGTGCAAACTCTTCAGCCTCCAACACAGTCCCTTCAGCTTTCAACCTGGACTCAGACAGGCTCAAGGTCCTTGAGTTACAACAGGCTGTTCCTGCTCTCCAGAACAAAGATGGCCATTTTGCATTCTTCCACCTCAATCGGGCAGACAGCCACTGGGGCCCTTCCACTCCCCATCCTATAAGCCTACCTACTAAACTCTTTGTATAATCATACATATATTTTGTATTACATCTGTTCCTCTAGTGAACCCTAACATGCACTCACCCTTTCTTTGAATCCTCCTTCCTGTTCTCAAGTGGGCCCTGGTCCCCCAAGGCTGTGGGAGGTATACACAGGTTTTGGAGTGGGTGCACCTGCAGGTCCTCCTGCCCACCCCTCTTTGTCTTTCCTGCACTCTCTGCCCTGTTCTGAGTGAGGCACCCCACAGCCATCCAGCAGCATCAGCAGCACAAGCGACCTGTCCCATTGGCTGTGGATTCCAATCCCAAGTTCCTGGCCTTTGTCCAGCTGGGGAGGAGTGTCTCTAGGACAAATGCAGCTTGTGGGACACCCCTGAAGGGAAGGCAGTCTCAGGAGGAGGCACTTGTCTTCCTAATTCCAAGAACTCCTACTTGGCTCCATGGCTTCTGTCTTCCTCAGCTGAGATTATTTCCTGTCCAGGTCCACTTGTGTCCCTGGCTCTCTTTTGTTTTCATAGGTATGTAGTTAGACATTAGTGGGCCCCGTTTTAAAACAGCATGTGTTCCCAGTTAAGTAAAGAAACAAAGACTTCAATGTATAATACACATATAATCATTAGGTAGGGCTCACACCTAAAGCGATCCCACAGAGCACAATGACATTTTAAGGTTACACACTATGCTCAGCCCTTCTGATACCTGGCCACCTGGCTGTCTAACTTCAAAACAAGGTGTATGGCATTCCTGGCTGCCATTGCCTACAGCCCAGTGGTATTGGGAAAGAAAATGTTCCTTGAAGATCCTCCTGGTTTGGGTTGGGACCTGGTTTAAATTAAGAATTTATCTTTTGTAAGTTTTTTTTTAATGATTAAAGCCCCTGAGAAAAGATTGACCATCTAAAAAGGACAGGAAGATATTATGCAATTCCAAAGTAACTTTTAAGAAAAATGATGATAAACATCATAATCACCATAGCTCCCAGAACCCTAGGAATTACCTTTGCGTGCATAAAAAGACATCCAAACTGGGCCAGAGATTTAGCTCAGTGGTTTCACTGCCTGCTGTGCAGGCACAAGGACCTGAGTTCGATCCCCAGTACCAAAAAAAAAAGACATCCAAACTTGCCGTCAATGCAGATATGTTGGTGGCACTGCCCACCTTCTCACTTGAAGACATAACTATATCTTCTTTACAATTAAGTTCTACTTAGACTTTTGCATGGCCACCTATGTGTCTCGACTGAATTCTTTTTTTTTTTTCGTACCAGGGATTGAACTCAGGACCTTGTGCTTTCGAGGCAGGCGCTGGAACCATTCAGCTAAATCCCTGGCCTCAACTGAATTCTTTCATCAAGGACAGAAAAAACCAACGGCCAAAGAGTAAGGGGTGGGTTCCCACTGCGTCAGGACCCAGCTTACTAGTGACATTCTGACAGCTGATGGCAGACCTCAGGCCTTTGGCAGCAGACCGTGTGTCCTTCCCGTGGCCTGGAGAACCCAGCAGGAGCTGGGCCACCTCAGTGACGGGTCATGGTGGTGAGCAGTGTTCCTGGGGCTTGGTTGGCTAAAACTTCTGTCTGAAGGCATCCCATCTGTACACTTGGGCCACCAGTGTAGCTGAGTGGTGGAGCACTTGCCTAGCACGCATGAGGCCCTGGGTTCAATCCCCAGCACTGCCAAAATAAAGGTGCATATGATTCTTGATGACTGGTCAGGTCACAGACGCCTGACCACATGGGTGGCTCCTTTCAACATTCCTTTTCCATACGAGTGAAACAGCCTAGGTACCTGGCCTTGGCTAACTGGAGGAGGGGGCGTAGGAGCAGGGCCCATGGTGTGACTGGGCTCCTTATCTGCACTGAGCTTTCTTGGGGTACACCCCTGGATCGGCTTTTTCCTGGCCTGTTGGGGTTCTGCTGTGCAGCTGGGGCAGCCACCAGCTATAATGGCAGGGAGTGCTGCTCTGCCCAGGGGGAAACTCACAGGGTCTGGGCTTTCGGTCATGAACAGTGTTGCTTCCATTCTGCATGCTAAGTAGCTTTTCTTCCAGGGCCCATCACCAACAGTGGAACCTGAGGACCACAGCTATGCACTCCCAAGGCTGTGTACACTGTGTTCCTCACCTCAGCGTCCTGCCCCTGAAATCTTTCCTATCTTTGTAACTTTGGACTTGAGTACAGTCAAAGAATAGAACAAGCAATTCCTGGATACTCTTCATATGTATTCCTTAAGTTTACATCATTGTATTTGCTTTATCTTTCACACACACACACACACACACACACACACACACACACACGCTTAAGAAGTAAGCCAAAGACATGATGTTCCTTTACCCCTATCTGTATTTCCTAAAAACAAAACATTCTCTTCCCCAAGCACAGCACACTGACTGTTACGGTCTATATCTAGATGACCCCCTCCCCGATCCTGGGGCTTGTGACTGGATTATGAGTTGCTGCAGCTGGCTTGGTGTTAGGAGGTGGGGTCTCGTCAGAAAAATGGGTCACTGAGGGTGTGACCTATAAGGTTTATCTTCCTCCCTGGTTCCTCCTTTCTGTTTCTGGGCCAACATGCCTGGAGCAGCTCTTCTCTGCCAGGGCCCCTGCCATGCCATCCTACCTTGCCGCCAGTGACTGTGGACTGAAGCATGAGCCAAAATAAGCCTCTCCTACCTTCAGTTGCAGGTGTCAGGTATTTTGTCCCAGGCAGAGAAGTGACTAAGAGAATGATCAAAGTCAGGAAGTTCAAATAAATACAAAGCCAGGCACGGTGGTTCATGCCTGTAGTTCCAGCTACTTGGGGTCTGAGGTGGGAGGGTCAGTTTAGTTCATGAGTTTGAGACCAGACTGGTCAACATAGTAAGAACCTTTCTCAAAACAAACAGACATGCAAACAATTTTTTGATCTATAGGTCTTATTCAGATCTCAACCCACTTTCAAATCTCCTCCCAGGGTCTGTAGGACACCTTTAACCTACTCTGACCGCTCATTTTTGTCATCAATGATAACAATACAAATGATAATTGTTAGACATCTACTATGACTAGAACTTGGAATATTTTATCATTTCCAGCGACATGCCTACAGAAAAGGGTATTTTTTCCAATTTAACAGCCTTAAAAAAAAAAGGAAAGTCAGAGAAGGTCAAACAAGGCCAGAGAGAGTGTGGGGTTGCCAGGAATGGTACTGGGCTGCAAGGGAGTTAAGCATTTCAGTATTCACATTTGAACTGCAGCTCTGCCTCATACTAACAATTTTCTTAACCTGAACCCATTTCTGTGAGGTGGTAGCAATGACTTCCTGTTTTTGTGAGGATTAAAGGAGATAGCATAGGGAAGTACCTGGAGTAAGGGAAACAGAGCAGCGACTATTATGGGTCAAATTTCATCCAAGCAGTGTCCTCCTGGTCCTTCAGTACAACTTTGGGTGTTGAAGGTCAAGAGGCTTTAGGGATTTTCCTCAGAAATGATGGCTCCCACCTGCCCCCTGTAGGGCAACTGTGTCAGTGTGAGAAGATGGGGCTGGGTTGATGGCACCCAGTCACCTGGCTTGTCAGCCTAGCGCAGTCGTGATAAACATGTGGCACACGTGCCACAGTGGGCTTTTTGTGTCATTGAAAGCTCGAAGAGGTTCGCCATTGCTGGCCTAGTGTGTCCGCGACTTGGGTGGCTGTGCCTGTTCCTGATGTTTACCATCAAAGTGGAGGAGAGGTGGAAAAGCCCTTCCTATCTCTGCATTTGGGAATACCAGGGAAGAGAGCTGGCCAGGGGGTGCAATGGGCAGGAGAGAACTTCTTTAGCCACAGATATTCAGAGCAAGGGTTTCCTAAACCACAGCTCTAGCGCACATCTGGCAATCTCTGGACACATTTTTGGTTGCTACGGTGGGGGTGGGTTGGTAATGATTCCTGGTGGGCAGAAGGTCTGAGTGTTGCTTGCAAAGCACAGGGTAACAACCGCCCCCGCCCCCAATTATCTAACCCACAATGTCAACAGGGATGGAGGTTGAGAAGCCCTGATTTAGAGTAATGTTTGGAGCAAACCTGTTGGCTTTCTAATGTATCATCTTTTCCCCATTTTACATCTGGATGCTCCCAGAATGACTGTGTAACCATATTGCCAACTTCCAAAGACTGAAAGTATTTTTGTTTGTTTGTTTGTTTAAATAGGATCTTGCCATGTTGTTGGCCAGGCAGGCCCTGAACTCGTGGGATCGAGATCCTTCTGCCTCAGTCTCTTGGGTAGCTGGGACTACAGGCGCACAAGGTCATTCCTGGCACCAAGGTTCATTATGGTTATATGTTAACACTTCGTACACGGGAAACGGGCAAGGAGTGGCACCCTTGGGGTACTGTGCCTCGCTCATCTCCATCCGTGGTCTTGGATGCTTTCAACAATTGAAACAAAATTAGGTCAACGAGCACCAAACTGCTCCTTGCACAATGAAGTAGAATTTCTGCTTCCTTCTGAACAGTCTGCGACTGCGAGGTCAGTGGAGGCGCAGGGTCCTGCGTCGTGGGTCGCGTGGGACCCCTCCCAATCTGGCAGCACAGCACTTTCCGCCCAGGAGAGGGTCCCGCCCTATACTCAGACCTGCTTCCCGAACTGCCCCGGATTCACAGCCACGGAAAGTGAGATCGTACGCGCTTCTCTGGATCTCGCGAGCTAGGAGGTTATGATCGCTCTCACGGCCCGGCGGGGAGGAGAAGCGACGGGACTGCGCAGCGTAGTCCAGCCCAGGAGAGGCGCTCCCTGAGCCGTCCTACAGGACGCCCTCCAGCGCCGCGGCAGAGATTACTCCCGAGCGCTTAGGCCGCGCCGCGTTGCACTTCCGGCCACCCCTTCTGCTTCCGGGGCACAACGCCCCCTCACCCTCTCTGGACGGGAACCGGAAGTGGACCCCGAGCCCGGAGGCGGAACCCGGCGCGCCCCCGTCGCCAGCCGGCTGCTGTGCTGGCTTCGAAGCTGAGCCGGGCCGAGCGGGTGGGCTGCCCGGGACGGCGCCATGAAGCTGTACAGCCTCAGCGTCCTGTACAAAAGCGAGGCTAAGGTGGTGCTGCTCAAAGCCGCGTACGATGTGTCCTCCTTCAGCTTCTTCCAGAGGTCCAGGTGAGCGGGCGGTGGCCGGGGCCGGCGGGGCCCGGGTCGAGTCCAGGGCCGGAGTCTCCTCGATTCGCAGACCGGAGCCCTGGGACTCATCCAGCATCCCCTTATAAAAGGCTTATGCCATCCCAGAATATTGTCCTGGTCTCAGTTTTTCAGATTCCTGTCCTATAAAGAGTAGAAGGGGGTTTTGAAATAGTGCAAATTCCCAGGGTTTAAGCCCAGATGTCCTGATCTAGTAGGTGCGACCCAGGAATGTACATTTTAAGCCAACATCTCGCACCCAACTGTTGATTCCGACCCGGGGGCTGGGTGCTGTGTGTTGAGATACATCTTTGTATTTCCTCAAGGGTCTTCCCAGCGACTCAGTATGAGAGAGCTTGGTGGGGTTGTTTGTTCGCTTTTGTTGTTGTTTGATTGTTTTTCAATGGGTGAAGTCATTGAGGTTGCATGAGGTTATACCACAACGAGCTAAGATCCAAACCCAGACCATTGTATGCTGTTTAGTGGCTGGCACTAGTGGCACAAAAGGATTCTAACACTGAAGACGTGGGAGGAAGGGTCAGATCTGTAAGGCTTAAGGACTTTTAAATGTTTCAGACACTGAGTTACGGGGAGCTGTGTATTACACCTACCCCATTCATTAGTGGGGAGCAGAGTGACTGGGGCACAAAAGGGTAAGGATCCCATGAGGTATCTGTGGTCAGCTTGACTCAAAGTTTGGTGGAATCTCTTTTCAATTTTCATTGCTTCAGGGAAACTTTGTTCTTTCTTTGTCTTTCATTGTGGTAAAATACACCTAACAATTTTATCATATTAACCATTTAAAACCGAAACTCTGTACCCATTAAATGCTAACTCGCTCTTCCCTCCCCTATTCTCTGGTACCTGCCAACAATTCTGTCTTTACCATAGTGACTATTTAAGGAAACTTATATAAGTGGAATCATACAGTATTTTTTGTGTGTGTCTGACTTATTTTACTTACCATACTGCCCCAGTATTCATCTTTGTTGGTCAGTGTATCAGAATTTTCTTCCTTTTTGTGGCCGGGTAATATTTCATGGTATGTTTACACTGCACTTTGCTTATCCATGCATCTGCCAATATAGACTTAGCTTACTTCCACGTTCTATTACAAATAATGTTACTATGAATAAGAGTGTACAAAAGTCTGTAAGACCCTGGTTACAGTTTTCTTTGTCATATATCCAGAAATTGAAACTGCTGCGTCATCTCTTGGCTCTTTCTTGTAGTTCTTGATTGTTCCCTTTGTTTGGCATGGCCTCTAGTCTGCTTTTATATTATTGCCTTTTTCTGATTGGAACTTTTGGTGCCAACTTTGTTTTTGTTTTCTTTCTTTTTCCATCTGTGCTGCAGATTCTCAGAAATTTCCCTGTAGGACTTACACCTCACTTCTTTGGAATTCCTGCACTAGTCTCAGGTGGCTTGACAACTACAGCAGGAAGGGGACGTCTCTACTAGTGTCTCTTAAAACCCCGCTGTTCCAGCTGAGCTGTTTTCCATGAGACCACCTCCCTTCTGTTCTTCTTGTCCCATGATACCCAACCCAAAAGCTTGAAACCTTTGAATACTTTCCTACCTCTTTTGGGCCTTGTATACCGATGCGCACAATTAGTGCAGTTCTCCCTTTGTCTAGGTACAGTCCACCTCTAAGTGTTGTGTCTTTTTAGTTGTGGAAGTTCCTCCTTACTTGAGGACTTAACTTTTCTAAGATTATTTTCCTCTTTCCTGTGATTATTTTGATCTAGTTCACTCATGATAATAATAGCTAGTAATACTGTGTGCTAAGCATTGTATGAGTTCGTTTAATGGTCACACTGGGCTTGATTCCACTGCCACAGTACAGAAACCGTCTGGGCACCTGCTGAGTGTGAAGCCGGGTGCCAGAGTCGGTCTCCGTCACTCGAGTGGCTCTGGGATCCCAACTTGGACTCCTAGTTGAGGACTCTGTCTCATGGCCCTTGCTGCCCTTTATATTCCATCCCCAGTTAGAGGCTCCTTCATAGCACCTGTTCGGCTGGACCATCTCCAATGACTGGCCCATTTGGCCAGATCTCTGTGGGCCATGACGAACCTTTTCCTCCCTCTCAGCCTTTGTACTAAAGCGCACTTCCTTGTCTTGGCTGGACTCTCTTTGCCTTCCTTCCAGAATGCTTGGGGTTTGTCCCGAGCTGGGACTCACTGCAGCAGCATGTGGCATTGCCAAGGCCTGCCGTGTGGCTGCAGCAGTGACTGGTGTAGAGCTGCTCAGCAGTATTTGCCACTAGTGTTTTTCTAGTACATTCTATGTTTGTTTGTTTCTTGGAAATTACCAGGGCCTTGAGCTGCCTCCTACTTTTCCACTCTGACCAACTGTTAAATTAACTGTAGCCTGAAGAAATTTCCCCGGAAGTCTGGAAGTGGGTTTTTGTGAGCCAGGTGTCAGATAGGCATGATGTAAGTGGTGGTGATGATTCATGTTTGTCTGTATTTGTGTCCACTTTCAGTGTCTGTTACTGAGGTTGGAAGGGAAAGGAATGAATCCAAGAGGCCATATCTCTATCTTGTAAACTTAGAGGTCACTTTATACTGTGTTGGGGACAGGGTGACAGAAGAATGTAATAAGTGTGTGTTGTGTTTCTTAGTGTTCAGGAATTCATGACCTTCACAAGTCAACTGATTGTGGAGCGCTCGGCAAAAGGCAGCAGAGCTTCTGTCAAACAGCAAGGTAAGAGGCCCTGTGGGTCCAGGTGTGTGCTGTCTGGTCTCCATGCCACAGCAGCATATGCTGTCCATGGTGACATGGACCCTACCCCTCTGCTACTCGTTCTCCTCCCACCTCCCTCCTCTTCTTCCTATGTATGCAGAATTCTGTGCCCACTGTTGAATTCTAAACTTCCTGGGTACAATTCCCTCCCAAGCTTGGACTCAATGAAGATGAGGGTCTGACTCACTCGGAGCAATAAGCAGCCCTCACCCCCCTCACCCCCCGTGCAAAGCCCTAGAAAAGCCTTCCACCCAGTGCTGTTGAGGTAACACTGCATTCTGTGCTCCTTTGATTTTTTGACCAAAAATCTGAAAATTCCCTGTTTTTTCTTTTTCATAAGTCAAGTTTTGTATTATGGCTTGTAAGCATTTGTTTTAGACTTGTAAGTTACACAGATTAGGAAAGAGTTACACAAGTTTCATCAGGCAGAAACAGAGACCACCTCACTTGTGGGCTGACCTCAAGTCACTTAATGCGGAGTTACTAAGTCGTTGGCAGAAGGATCAGTATTGAACATGTTACTCCACATGGGACCCCTCTGCTTGTGAGTATCACAGAAGGAACAACGAAACAGGAACATTCCATGTTCTCTGTCACTGCCTTTCGGACTGTAGGATGTGTGCACTTCAACCCTGTGTTTGAATTACTTGGGAATGTACATCAGCTATAGAGAGCAGATGATGATTCTCCATCCTCTGCTCATCTGTTCTTACTGATCCCTACCATTGTCTGATTTTAGGGGGTCACAGACTTTCCTGCCTCTTTTGTTTCTTTGTTGTTGAGCATGGAGTCTTCTGGGTCAGATCCGTGGGGACAAGAAGGTTCACATTCATAAGCTGCAGTCCTTATGTTTCTCTTACTTTGGGGCCTGGCTAGATCTGTCATCCCGAGCCCTTTCCAAATGCTGACGCTCAGCAGTCCTGGGAATTGACTGTCTTGCAGAAAGCCCTGTACAACCATACTTGTTGTGGTACTGGCGATTGAACCCAGGGCTTTTGCACTCAGCTGCATCCTCAGCGCTTGTTTTATTTCTAAAAATTTTGAGGCAGAGTCTTGCTAAGTTGCCCAGGCTGGGCTTGAACTTGTATTCCTGCCTCAGCCTCCCAGAGTGCTGAGATTAGAAGTGTGTGCCAGCACACCTGGCTAAACCATACCTTTTGATCCCGACAGTATCAGGGCAGTGATGCTGGAGACTTCAGCCAACAGTTGCTAATTTTCTGCGGATAGCTTAGCCCAGGAGGTAGAGCAGGCTGAGCAGTGTTGCCATGGCTCGGGAGACTGAGGCCCAGGGAGGTAATTTTCTGTCTTTAGGTCACTCTGAAAGGTTTTTTTTTTTTTTTTTAAGTAGAGGATGCTTTTCTGGGGTTCCCTCAGTTTGGGAGCAACACAGAGCCTCAGAGGGCTGTGAATCATCGAGACACAGTCAGGCCTGACCTCCCCCCTCCCCGCATGGTGTCCCTTTCCGACCTTGGCTGTGTACACAAGGCCTGAGCATTGCTGGACCTGAGCAGTGGGCTGAGCTCTGGGTGTGGCACAGGGAGCTGCACTGTGGGCCCTCCCATACCCTACCCAGAACCGAGGAGCTTCAGAGGGCTTGGTTTGACCCACAGAGCGGGAGACAGCTTTGTGATGCCTTGGTGTGGGGGATTAAAAGCTGTCTGAACCCCTCATGTTGGTCTCTTGTCTCCTTAGAGTATCTGTGCCATGTTTATGTCAGGAACGATGGTCTTGCGGGTGTGGTCATCGCGGACAGCGAGTACCCATCCCGGGTGGCCTTTTCCTTGCTGGAGAAGGTGAGTGTGTGGTTTGGCTGCATTGGCCAAGGATGACAAGGGCAGACATCATGGACAGTGCCAAGCGCGAGGATGACTGCTCAGAGTCCTCTGCCCTGCCTTTACCCAGAGACGGTTGGGCTCCTGCAAGCTCCCTCTCTGAGCTGACTCTGCCCTGGCTCCCGGTGTCTCAGCTGCTGGGCTGCAGCACCTCCCCTCTGTGAAGGGCCTGTTGTACCTTGGGTTCACACAGGCGCTATCCTCCCAGCCTCCTGCCCAGGGTCCCTCGCTCTCCATGTTGCTCCTGCAGTTGCTGCAGCCCTCTCCCCAGTGAGGACAGAGCTTGGCACCTGAGCATACTTTGTTTGGTTTTTCCCAGCACTGGGGATTGAACTCAGGGCTTTTGCACTGAGTTTCTTCCCCAGCTCTTTAATTTTTTGGTACTGGAAATTGAACTCAGGACCTCATGCTTGCCAGGCAGGCTCTGTGTCACTGAGCTAAATCCCTGGCCCTCCTTTTTATTTTTTGAGACAGGGTCTCACTAAGTCGCTGAGTTGCCCAGCCTGGGCTCGAACTTGTGATCGTCCTGTCTCAGCTTCCCGGAGTGCTGGGATTGTAGATGTGTACCACTACACCCATACTTTAATTTCCTTGTGTGGTGCTAATTATAAATTTGAAGACAGAAGCTTCATTTTATCCCCCTAAGACACTTACTTCCAGGCACGTGAGATCAGTGGTTGCTTAAGTCCTAAGTACCTAGTTCCCCTTTCTGAAAAATTACTTTGGAAAAATACAAGATCAGTACCATTTCCCTGGGAAATCTGTCATTTAAAGTGCAAATACCTTCATCATTCCCCAGATAAAGTTCATTCCAGCCTGGGCATGCTTCGCTTTTGCTTCCTACATACTTAGGATGGTTTTTTTGTTTTGTTTTTTTGGGTTTTTTTGGTACCGGGGATTGAACTCTGGACCTTGAGCTTGTGAGGCAGACAGTGCCACCAAGCTAAATCCCCGGCTTCACTTAGGATGTATTTTAATGACAAGAAACATTTGGGAAGAGGCACAGTATACCTGACTCTCCCTTTGCCATTGGATGGCATTTTCTTCCTTCCCTGGGCTCTGGGCATTCAGGGAGATTCACTCAGGGTCAGGGGTGCAGGGGGAACCTGTCGGGGTGCTGGGGAGCACAGGTTGGGGGCTACTGGGGACTCTGTTGTCTTGCAGGTACTAGATGAATTCTCCCAGAAGGTCAACAGGATAGATTGGCCCGTAGGATCCCCCGCCACCATCCATTACACGGCCCTGGAGGATCACCTCAGTAGATACCAGGTAGGTTTGGAGACACCCAGGATGGAGGCCGAGTGGACCTGGGAAGGGCAGTGCTGGGCGAGTTCAGGTCTGGTGACCTGGTCTCTCAGGCCTTCCCCTGAAAGACAGAGGACCTGCTTCAGGCTGGCCCAGCTCCAGGCAGGCAGGAGTCTTCCCTTGGGTTGAAACAAGGCATGCCTTTCTGCCTTGGATGTTGGTCCAGCTTCGTCTTTTGAGTTTGTTTCCAAGTTGCTGCTTCGGTCCTGACTCTTTCTTTATTTTGGCTCTTTCTAGAACCCCCGAGAAGCTGACCCCATAAGTAAGGTGCAAGCTGAGCTAGATGAGACCAAGATCATTCTGGTGAGTGGGAAGGTCGAGAGTGGGGCAGGAACTGAGGGGCAGGTGGATGAGCCTGTGGCTGCGCCCAAGCCAGCCGGTGCCCCTGGTTCCTGGCACCGCTTGTTGGGAGGGGACCAGGCTGGGAACTGGCCGCTCACTGCTGAGCAGTTAGGAGGCTCCAAGGTTGGCCCTGCAGTGTCTGGGTCAGAAGAGGCAGACGGAAGCACTGCACTGACAGGCAGCCGGGTTCCCCAACGCAGGCCTGTTTTTATTGTTTCGTTTTTATTTTTTTTTTGGTACCGGGGATTGAACTCGGGACCTTGTGCTTGTGAAGCAGGTGGTGGAACCACTGAGCTAAATCCCCGGCCTGCAGGCCTGTTTTTAGTTGAGCTGCAGCTTGCTTTTGTGTGTGTGTGCTAGGAATTGAACCCAGGGTCTTTGCACTGAGCTGCATCCATACCTCGCCACCCTTTTAATTTTGAGACAGGGTTTTGCTAAGTCACTAAGTTGGCTAGGCTGGGCTCAAACTTGTGATTTTCTTGCCTCTGCCTCCCAGAGTACTGGGGGGAACCTGTGTTTTTAGGTGAAATTTGATTCAGGGCTGCCTTCCCTTTTTCCTTTCAATACTGGCTGGCTGTTTTTCTCCTCAGTTTTGGTCTTCATGGTCTTTGTACCTGGCTCCTCTCCCATTGTTCACAAGTCACGAGCCATCAACCTGTTACCCTTCTGGAAATCTTTTTTCTTTTTGGTACCAGGGATTGAACTCGGGACCTTGTGCTTGTGAGGCAGGCAGCGGAACCACTGAGCTAAATCCCCGGCCCCCTTCTAGCAATCTTCAGCAGCCCCATCCTCCCTGGATAAAGCACATCCTCCTCACAGTCTCACGCAGCCTGTGCACAGTGCCCTGCTCAGGCCTTCCTGCAGGTTACTGCCGTTGCTGTGCCGTCACTATGTGTTTGTGCAGCTCCCTGGCCAGCGTGTGGTGCCCAGCATCTTCCCGAGCTGCTCCCCAGGCCATGTCTACTCTCACTGCATCTCCTGGGCGGGAACTTGCTCTGCGGGACCTGGGGCCTGCATTGTAGAAACAGCAGCTGAGGCCGCAGCAGTGGCTTTCTGGACCTTGCACTGAGGGCTGTGGCTTTGTCTTCCATAACTTCTCTGTCTTCCATAACATGTTGGGCTTTTCTGACTGCTGAGGTGCCGTCTTCAGGTTTCCCACTCAGGTGCTGTCGAAAGAGGATACTCTTTCCACTGGAGAGCGGACGAGCCGTGTCCATCAGCGCTGTTCTAGCTGCTGTTGTAAAATCTGGATTGGTTTCTAGAGCTTAATCCAGCTAACTTTGTGTTTGGTTTATTTTTCACTAGTGCATCTTAACTGTACAGAGTAACGGGCTTTACCGTGGCACCTTTCTTCACGCATACCATGCACTTGGGTCCTACCTGCCTCCCCCACTCCCACCAGCTTTTTACATTGGCTCCCCAGTTGCATAGCTGCCTGCAGGGGTAAAGTGCACCCTGCTGAGGCCTCATCCCTTGCTAGTCCGAGTGTGAGCTCCTCCTCCTGGCGTGGTCTGGGTACAGAAGGGGCCACTGGCTGCTGAGGCCCTCCATCCCCTACCCTTCCAGCAGGGCGCCCCAAGTGCAGTGCTGTGCTTTCTTTTAGGGAAGCTGGGCCTGTCCTGCGCAGCGCCGCCTAGTGGGAATCTGACACACTATACATGCGAGTCATGTTCTTCTGGATTTTTTTTTTTTCTGGATTTTATAGGAGCCATATTTTAAAATGATAAAAGTTGAAATTTATTTTGATTTTTTTTTTTTTTTTTGGTACCGGGTATTGAACTCAGGTCCTTGCACTTGCGCAGCAGGCGACGACACCATTGAGCTAAATTCCAGCCCCCTTATTTTGATTTTTAAAGTTCACTTTTTTGCAGTATGTACTAGAGATTGTGCCCAGTTTCTTTCACTGGAGCCCCAAGGGCACTCCCCCCACCCCACCTTTAGCCAATGTCTCACTAAATTGCTAAGTTGCTGTGGCTGGGCACAAACTTGAGGTCCTCCTGCCTCTGCCTCCCAAAGTGTTAGGATTATGGGTGTGCATCACCACACCTGGCTTGTTTGCGCTTAGAACACTTTCAATTTGGACTTGTACCTTAAATGCGCGGTAGCTCTCTGTGGCCCACATTTGCTGTTAACAAACACCCACAAACTGAGTGGCTCAGAACAACAGGGGAACAGTTTGGGGGTTTCTTGCTATGTAATTCAGACTGGTCTTGAACTCACTGTGTAGCCCAAGCTGGCCTCAGACTTGCAGCAATCATCCTGCCTCAGCGTCTCGAATGCTGGGATGACAGGCGTGCGCCACCACATGCCAGAGGACACAGAGGCCATGGCATGGGCAGGCTGTTTCCTGGAGGATGCCTCAGGCATCTGACCCAGGCCTCACCAGCTCCTGGCAGGTGCTGCAACCCTTGGATTGTGGATGCCTTGCTCCAGCCCTGTCTCTGTTGTTGCATGCTTCTTCTGTGTGTGTGACTGCCTTTCTTTTTTTTTTTTTTGGTACCGGGGATCGAACTTGGGTCCTTGCGCTTGCATAGCAGGCAGCGAAACCACTGAGCTAAATCCCCGCCCTGTGACTGCCTTTCTTATATTCTCATTTTCTCCTGCACCAGACCCACCCTAACCCACTGTGACGTAATCTTACCTAATGACACCTGGAAAGATGCTGCTCCCAGATCGGCCCCCATTCAGTGGCTCTGGGTGGACATGAACTTCCAGAGGCCGATGTGCAGCCCAGCCCAGCCCAGCCAAAGCGCCCAGCTCTGGTTTTCTCCTGTGGAACCCCAGCTGTGTGTGTGCGTGCACACACACATAAACACAGCATGGGTGTGCCTGAGAGTAACGTGTAAATGTGAATATGCATGACCTTTTCCAGACGGGCTTGTCTGAGTCTGCTGGGGACAGTTTTCAGGAGTTCCGCTGTGTCCCTGTGGGGATCTTGCCAGGTGCTGACACCCTCGGCCCAGTCCCTAGCTGAGAGCTGGTGTCTGTTGGAGAGGAGCCCGGGAGAGTGGTGTCCCCGGCCCCTGAGCCTCCGTCAGGAGGAGGAGCTCTTGTCAGCAGTCACTTACCAAACAGAGCCAAGACTCCTCTGTCTTTTGTCCAGCACAACACCATGGAGTCGCTGTTGGAGCGAGGCGAGAAGCTTGATGACTTGGTGTCCAAATCAGAAGTCCTGGGAACGCACTCTAAAGCCTTCTATAAAACTGTGAGTAGCTGTGGCCTGGCCCTCCTGGGCATCCCTTCCCTCTAGCAGGTCCCCCTTAGTTTGTTTTTATTTCATCAAGGTAGATTTGGGTTCCACTCCTGGGAGCAAAGGAGCCCAAGGCAAGTGTGCCCACCCCCCCCAGCCCCCACCAGCATTAGTTTGCATCCACTGAGGTGCCATCTGTCCTTGTGGCCAAGGCTGGCCGGTGTCTGAAGCCACCACCGCCCCCACGCACGCTGGTTCCAGCCTGAGCCCAGGCATTCATCCCCACTCCCCTGTTGGCTGAGCAGTTGTCCTGAGTCTTTAAAATGCCAGCAGTGCACCTTCCTGGGGAGCCTCCTCAGCTGAGGGTTCATTTCCCTTCATTGTCCAGACGGCTTCTCCTGGCTGCCCCTTCTCTGACCGGCTCTCGGCCCGTGGTCAAGTGGCAGTGGAGACAGCGACCCCAGTGTGCGCACACACGTGTGTGCCTCTTGGAGGGACAGAGGCCGGTGGGGTCAGGAGAGGCTGTAATAGCTGGGCCTGCAGATGTGAGCAGGGACCCTGGCTGTTCTCCAGGGTGGGCAGGAGACAGGAGTGGGGACGCTAAGACAGCCAGTCCTGTTTGTGTTCTTGGTTGCCTACTTCTGGTAGCATTAATGGGGGTGAAGAAAGGTGAGGATCCCACACTAGCACTGGGGCCGAGGAGGGCACTGTGATGGGCAGCCATGAGTCTCCTGCGTCTGTCCCTTCTTGGCCCTTTGTCTGGTTCTGGTTTCTCTGTCCGTCCACCTTTCCGGCTGCCATGCCTGATGCCTGCTGAAGATGTGACCTGCCCGCCTCAGCCCCTTCAGCTCCTCTTTGTCTCTTTCAAGGCCCGGAAACAAAACTCGTGCTGTGCAGTCATGTGACACACCCCATGGAGGCTGGACCATCGCCATCACTCACATCAGAACTGCAGCCACTGGAGAAGACGCCCTAAGAGGACCTGGGGCCGGGCGGACTTGTCATTTTTACACTGAGTTCCCAGGAGGAACTGAGGGATGGTGGAAGGGTGGGGAACGTCCAAGTTCATATGTCTCTTGTGAATTTTGCAAAGAATTTGAGGCCCCCAACGGTGTAATTTTGGGAAAATGAAACTATAAACACTGAGCGGCTCCTGTAGATGCTGAAGGGCACGCTCCTGCCTCCTGCAGGCTCCTGGGCCCAGTTCGGAGCTGGTCCCGGCATAATTGGCAGACACCTTTGGGTTTCATCTGTGCACTAAGGGTGTTAACTCCAGGAAGGGGGGTGACAGGGTGGGCTGGGCAGATGCAGGGGTGGGGTGAGCCTGCTTGTGGGCCTGTGGTTCCCACCAGGCCTGTAGGGGGCACTGGTCCCTGCATCGCTTCATGTTCTGTCCCTTTGTGCGCTCTGCCTCTGTGGGACTGGCTTCCTGAGGGCAGGGCCCATCCTGGCTACCTTCCCCCCGCTGTTCCAAGGGCTTTGGAAGGAGCCGAGATGGGCATGTGAGTAGGCCAGGGACAGGTCCAGGGAAGGGTCTGGTCTGTGTGTCAAGCTGGCAGCTGGGAGTGTTGGCCCCAAGGGAAGATCCAGACACAGGTGCCCTCAGCTGCCCGGGATAAGGCACCTGCAGTGACCCACCAGGACCAGGATGACTGGTCATCAGGATCAAAGGCGCTGTACTCAAAACTGATTTGTATGCCTCTGGCTGGGCACCTGCCTGGAAGTTGTGCACGTGGGCAAGTCTCTCCAATGGGTGTCTGGAGGAGGTGCCAAGCCTGAAGACTGTCACCCCCCTGGGTCTGGTCTGAGCTGCCACCCCAGCAGCCGCCTTAGCCCCAAGGCCCAGCCCTGGAACCACTTGAGGGGCTGGGTCCCAACCACCTCTTCATGCCTTGCTGTGACCATGGTGCCCCACAGGGTCTTCCCTTGGGAAGCCACTGTGGGATGCTGTCACCCCATCCCTGAAGCCTGCCCTGCTTCCCAAGAGCTCCCTGGAGGGCAGGTGCAGGCAGGAAGGGTCACCCTACCCACTGGGTCGGTTACCTGCCACTGCCCCTTTTCTCTGGGACTCTGCTGCCAGAGGGCTCCGACCTCCCCAGGACTGTCCCTTTCCATACCTGAGCTGGAGCCCAAGGGAGCAGGAATGAGGGGCACTGGGGAGACAAGGTGGAGGGTGGGGTGAGTTTGGGGGAGAGGAGAGGAGACCATCAGCGTTTCCTTGCTGCCTGTTGTATTCCAGTATCCAAGCTTGGCAAGAGTGTACTTTAGTAACTGCTGCCTAACTTCCCTATGTCCTGTGTGAGAGGTCCCTGTCTGGATAAAGTTCTTCTGAGATGCCAAAGTGGTCTCGTGCTTTGTCCTGGGGACGGGGTGCATGCTGCAGGGCCTGGGTCTGTCCCCACCCTCCCCTCTGCACTATTAGCCAAGGAAGTGCCCTGGAGCAAAGGCGCCTTGGCCCTACATCTGGTTCTCAGGTCCTAGCGGGAGCCTGGGAAGCTGCTGCAGCTACAGAGCCTGGAAGGAGACCCTGATTCTGCCCAGGCTTCCTATCCCTCCCTGGGGCTCAGAACACCTGGCCTCTGCCAGGCAAGGTGGGAACTTCAGTAAGGTGGGTGCACACGGCTGACCTCTGCAAGGAATCTGGTCTCAAGCCCAGGGAGCAGCTTGTGCAGCTGGGCGGTGGAGTCTGAGGCCACTGCCGCCCCCTCAACCCGCGGTACCCAGCCGGCGGGCTGGGCCTCCCTTTGGGCCTGCACTTGGGATCCTTGTGGCCAGAGACCCCATCTTCCTGGCTCCATGTGACAGCACCTGACAGAGCTTGGGGTAACCTGAGCCTTCTTGGGGTGAGGGGTCTCCGCCCAGAGTAGGTACAGCTTAAAGTGATGAATGAAATGCCCTCACCAGAGCCCAGTGCTCGGGCCTGCAGGGTGGTCAGCCCTGCGCTGTGTCAAGCCCAGAGCCACCTCAGGAATAATGCATGTTGGAGGCTCAGGCCCATCGCCGCAGCCTTCCTGAGGGAGGCCTGACCTGGAAAGTCTCCGATTACAGCTGATAGATGAGCAGAGCCCTAGATCCGGTGCCTTTCACTGCTGCGTCGGGGCACTGACCTAGATTCCTTGCACTGGCCCTTGGGATCTGCCTCCTGCCTGCCATGTACCTGAGAGCACGTGCTCAGGTGTGCCTCCCGGAGCCCGAGCAGCTGGCAACAGGGGCCTCCTCACTGGGCTAAGGTGTCTGTGATGGAGGAGACAGCGGGGACCTTTGGCCAGTTCTGGGGGATCCCTCAGGACCCTGGCTCCTGGTGGATGAAACTGATGGTGAAGGGATGTCCATCTTACCAGAAGTTACCTGGACCCCAGACAGGCATGGTTGCCGAGAGCCATACTTCTGTACCAGGAGAGCACAAGGCATAAGAACAGTGGTGGCAGCCCCTGGGATACAGGGGTGCAGGGTGTGGGGTTCACCACTCTGACAGGTGGCCATGGAAGCCAGAAGGGTCCCGGGGTGACTTGCAGAAAGGTGTTGAGGCTGCAGAAGGACTCGAGGGGCAAGTTTTCCTGAGGGAAGCTTTGTGCCTAGGCGGCAGGGCACAGTGGCCAGCTGGGGGACATCTGGGCAGAGTCTGAGGGTAGAACAGGCCTAGTAGAGGTGACAGGGAAAGGATCTTGTCCCATTCGTAGGCTGGAGATATAGTGGGAAGCCTGGGGAGGGAGCCTTTCTCCTTTCCCAGCAGCTGGGTGTGCTGGCCCCAGCTCCTGGTGTCCTTCCGGCCCCACCCAACTCTGGCCAGAGGGCCAAGCCTCTTAACTCACATAGGGTGGTGACACTCAGGGGTCTTGGTGCTGAGGCTCCTTCCCACCCATAGGCCACTCCTCCTGACTTCACTTTTATTGGCCTGTGGAGATCACAGTATTGGGGCTGGAGGCCAGTTCTGGTTCCGGCCTCCCAGGTGGACAGCACAGGAGCCAGAGGACTTGGGAGTATCAGACAGAGGGATGGGGTCAGCAGGTGGGCCATGACCCACCCGCCGCCAGAGAAGCACTGAGCCCCTCATTCTTCACCCACCGCTGGGCAAGTGCCAGTGGGTCTGTTCTGGGCCAGGGGATTGACAGGGTCTCAGCATAAAGCACCCAGCTGCACTTCAAGCACTTTGTCCTGTTTTTCTTTTATTTGCAGTTTCCCGAGACAGAACAAAATAAGAATAATTTTTGTACACCTACAAGGCTCAGAAAGAAAAGACAATGAAACTCAGCAAAAAGAGAAGAGGGAGGGCCGCCAGCACCGGGGCCGCGACGCCCTGCAGCGCTGGCCAGCGGCGACGCCACCACCTGCGAACACCTAGCTAGCAGAGCAGGCAAGGCCTGCTCTTTGGAGAGGGTCATGCAAAAGAATTATCCCCCAGAAAAGAATCCCAAATGATCCCAGACAGGCAGCTCTGTGGAGATAACAGGGGGTGGGGAGGGAGAGGAGGCCCCGGGACACCAGGGTGGCTCGCCGTGGGGCCACAGTGCTGTCCGTGGTGAGCCTGCCTCAGTCCGTGGCCTGGAGCCCGCTGTGCGGAGCCTGGCAGATGTTTACCCTGTGTCCATGGATGGAGACGGCTTTCCTGGACACAGCGTGGACAGAAGGTGGCATCCACTCTGACGTCCGAGGTGGACAGTCCCCTTGGAGTTTGGAATCCTGTGTCCTATTCCCCACTCTGTGCCCCTCCCCACCTTGATTTGTGGGGAAGATAGACAGAATCCTTGTTGAAGACGACATGAATTGAAGGTGGGCAGCACTGGGTAGAGAGCCCTGAACTCTAGTCGAGGCTCCCGACCGCCCCTTGCCGCTGCCCTCACATTGTACCCGCTTCACCATGGTGCCTCCCATCATGAAGGGCCAGGGCCACCAGCATCCTGTGGCAGCACACTGTCCCCAGACTGCCCTCCACCCAGTGCCCGTGTCCCCAGCCGGCCTTCTCTCCAGGCCTTCTCTGTGCCAGGCTGGCCCCCGCCTCGCTTCTGCCCTAGGCCCAGGTCGTGAAAGCTCTCCCACCTCAGCAACCACCTGGCCCAAAGCTGGCAGCCCCACCTTCCCTACCCTTTGTCACTTGCTGCGTCAGCCAAGCCCCGAGCATGCGCGCAGCTCCCAAGCTCAGCTAGCAGACAGCCCAGAGGCAGCTGGCCTGCTCCTGAGTCCGGCGTGGTGGCGTCTGCTCGTGGCTGCACAGGGACAGCCACAGTGACCGTGCTGCTGGCTGGCAGGGAGCGGGGAGGTGCCCCAAGCAGTAGGGGGCCAGCTCCTGGCTGAGCCCCTCTCCACGACAGGGCAGTTGGAGTTGCAACCAATACATTGTCTCAGGCAAGTTGTGCCTGTCCACACCTGTCCCAAGGACCAGTGCTGCGACCCAGGGGCCCCAGGGCTCCTCTGCTGGCCGCAGGATGGCTGACTCCTGCACACTCCCGGGGCCAGGGGCCGTCCATACTGGGTGGTGGGTCCCAGGCTCCAGGAGCCCACACCAGCCCTTCTCGGGAGAAAGGAAAGGGAGGGAAAGCAGGGACAGGAGCAGCCAGAGGCCCGCAGCCCTCCCAGGACACCTGACCGCATGACAGCTAGGCGAGCACATGCCGGGCCATGCGCGGGCGGGAGGATGCAGACGCCCAGTGCGCGGGTGAGGATGATACCTACAGACTGACACTGTTCAGCACACGTGGGGCCCGGCAGCTCGTTCATGCCCGGAGGGTCCCCACAGCCGACCAGGAGTGCAAGGGACGCACGTGGAGCCTGGGTGGAGGGCAGCCCCACAAATGCCAGATTTTTACAGCTTTTTCCTTTTAGGGTGTTTTTTTCCATTTCATCCGATGGCAATCTTTGTGTGTATGTGTGTGTGTGCATGTGTGTGTGGGGTTGTCGTTGTCTTCATCCTTTTTTTTTTTTTTTTTTTAACAAATCACATCTGGTCTTGTTTTTCTGCAGACACAGGCACCGGGGGAGGGGACCAGGCGACACAAACATGCGACAGGCAGGCCGAGGCCAAGGTGGCCAGGCTGCAGACACCGACTCTGTCCGCCGAGACCAGGCTCCGCTCTGAAACAGCAGACAGGCTCCTCAGCACCTCCACACCCAGCTCAGCCTAGGCCTACCGCAGTACTCTGCGGACTCAGGTGCCCTGGGCCTTCCCACCCCTACCCAGCAGGCTCTGCCCTGGGTGCTGCCCCCCACCCCGGCTCTGCTCACCTCACTGCAGCGGGGCCACGGGCGCGCCCGAGCAGTGGAAGTGCACGTTCTGCCACTTGCCCTCTCGGCGGTGCCACACCCGTGTCTCCTCGGACTGGCTGGTGCGGGGCCGGCCCTGGCCGTCGATGTACTGTGTGAGGCGGATGTAGGCAATGCAGGCCGCGTCCTCGCCGATGACGTGCACGTGGGGGTTCAGGATGGTCGTGTGGATCGGCTTGCTGTTCTTGGCCAGCACTGTGGGCGGCGGGGGTCGGCACTGAGGACTCATGAGTGGACGCTGCCCACGTGCCCTCCACATGCCCACCCCGGTGTGTCCCGCCCCACGCTGCCCACCCCTGCTCCCCACTCACGGTTCTCGAAGTAGAATCTGTGGAAGTCCATGCCTTCAACCAGGTTGCCCAAAGCTTCGGGCTCAAAGGAGGTGAGGCCAGGGTCACAGATTTTCCTGGGGGGCAGACCTGAGTGAGGAGGGGCACGCCCCCCACCCGCACCCCGCACAGGCCCCACCAGCCCCCGGGACTCACGCGTAGGCCTCGAAGTCGCCGTTGTTGACGGCCTCAATGAGCTGTTCTGTGGTCTTGATGATCTCCTGCTTCCGGGCTGCGGGAGGTGTAGAGTGAGCATGGGCACCAGCCCAGCCCACCCTGGACACGGGGCCACCTGGCTCCTACACTTCCTCTCCAGGAAGGGCCTGGGTCCTGACACCCCATGCCCGGACTGGCCCCATCACCTGCTCTCCCTCCTCACTTCCAAGTGCAACGGCTTCTATCTTGTTTTTCTTAAGTAAAAGATTTTTGTTTTTGTACTAGGGATCGAACTCGGGTCCTTGCGCGTGTGCAGCAGGCAGTAAAAGCACTGAGCTAAATCCCCAGCCCTTAAGTAAAAATTTTTAAATGACAGAAATACTCTATCCATACTACAGAATGTCTAGAAAATGCAGAAAGGGTGAAAGCCTGTGGTCACTACCACGCTAGCCCCATGGGCCACCCTCTCTGGCCTGCCACTCCCATGTCCTCCACTCCTGTCCTCTGCCTGGGCCCTACTCACTTCGTACCTCCTTTCTTCAACAAGGGTCTGATGTCAGGGCACTAGGGGCCAGCACCAGGCCAGGCAGAGTCACTAGTAGGCTCGTGCAGGCCTGCAGGATCTGGACTGGGGGTCCCACTGAGCAAAGGCTGGGGGCCAGATGCCCCAGGCTCCAAAGTGGGAAGAGCAAGCACAGTCCCTGGCACCCACAACCTGGCTCTCAGATGCCCAGTGGTGTCCCCGCCTGCGTCCAGTCTGGGACTCTCTCACCCCAACCATCCTGCAGTGCCAGGCCCGGCGCTGCTCTGAGTGCTGGCCCCTGCCCTCCAGGGCCCTCGCCAGAAGTCCCCCTAGCTGCTTTAATGACAACTGATTGCAACTGTAATACAGTTCAAGCATGGAAGAAGCAGAGAGAATAGCACTGTGGTGGGGCTGCCCCTCGCCACCCCTCCAGCACCTCAGAGTTTGGGGTGCACTGCAGAGATGTGCCTGCTGCAGGTGCCCATCTGCCTGGGAATGGGCAAGCTGTGTTCGCTCTGGGGTCTGCAGCACCCGGGCAGCATGGCAGAGGTGCTCGATGGTGGGGTTGAGGACATGGGTACGTCTGCATGTGTGTGCACATGAGTATGCACATGAGTACACATGTGTGGTTGTGCACAAGGGTGCACATGTAGCACACTCAAATGCATGTGCATGCACGTATATACATGTGTGCAGAACATGTGGGCATGTATGCGTTGGACTGTGAGCTCCAGAAGCCCCTCCCCCCAGGTCCTGCTCCAGCCCCACACCAGGGCCCAGTGCTGGGACACTATCAGGGTTCTGTCTCAAACATGCAGCACATCTGGCACTTGAGGCCCAGGGCAGTGCCCACCTCAGCACCAGCTGCCCTGGCACCTCGGGGCCCTCACCCCTGCCCTTCCCTGAGGCAGCTCTGTGCACAGAACATGGCAGAACTGAGTGACACTGCTTTTATTACTAGACGGCTTTCATTCTGTACTCACCTGTGCTAAGCGAAACTAATTTTTCATTTAATGAACTAATACTGAGTGTATTTAAACAAACTATAATTAAAAAACGGAAATCAGCATGAAGTGAGTGCAGCAGCCAGAGGTGGAGACTGCGTTGGAGGCTGGGAAAGAGGCCTGGTGGTCGCAGCCTCCGGCTCCCTGCAGCTAGGGACGGTTGGAGGCTGCCTGCAAGCGGTCCTGGTCATCTCTTATCTGTAGTGGCTGCTGCCCAGACCTCAGTGTGACCCACTCCCTGCTCTGTCTTCCCAGACTCCATGCGGGTGCTTCTGTGTCCTCAGCATCTGGGACCCACGAGGGAGGGGGCAGGGAGCCCAGCACAAAGGGGCCCCCAGGCCAGGTTGGGGGACCGAGCTGAGGACAAGCTGCACCCCCTGGCCCTCAGCAACTCCAGGGAAAATGCTGAATGGAGTCCCAGGAGGGCTGAACTGGCTTCACGCTGCCCATGGTGGGGGCAGGGGGCAGCCTAGGGAGGCCGCAGGGGGCAGCCTAGGGAGGCCCCAGGGGCCAGTGTACTGCTGGCCCTGGCCACCCTGAGTCCCTTCCTTCAGGGCCACCGTGGCCACAGGAGACAGGGCAGCTGCCGGGGATCAGCCGGGATCAGCCAGGATCATGCATAATCCCCGATTAGGGGGCATGGGTGCGAAGGGCTGGGCCTGAGGTGAGGCAGCGTCTCAGGGAAGGGGGACCCACACCCCACCTAGCACATGGCTGGGGCTGGCCACATGCCAGCAGCTCTCCTGAAGCTCCCCCTCTGCCCACCCTGCCCCGCTCCCAGACGGCCACGCAAAGTCCCCTCTCTACCCACACACAGTCCCTTTCCTGCAGCCCCATCAACCTTGTCAAGCTCGGGATGGAACCTAAATGGGCAGTCTGCACTGCCTGGTGACAGTCATGCCGTGTCCCTCACAGGTCCTGCCCTAGAGCACCCCCTCGCCTGGCCCTCTGTAAGGGCAGCGGGGCCCCTTGAAATCAGACGAGATGCCATGGACCTGGGGAAGGTGGAGCTGACTCTCCAGACACTGGGAGCATCGCCCCCTGCCTCCCTGTGGGCTCTGCTGCTGTCCCCCGTCACCAGCAAGAACCTGGTCACCTCTCAGTACCTCCAAGCCAGCAGTGGACCGTGAGCACTCTGGGGGGTTTGTGTCCCTCCAGAGGCTGTCCATGCCCCAGGGCGTGCAGGACGGACCCCACCTTCTGGGCCCCGGACACCGTACTCACCCAGCCACTGCCCTGCCATTCTGAGCCCCTGGCCCGGCGCCCTCTCCTCTGACAGCACCTCAGCGCCACCCCCAGCCTGTGTCTCCCCAGAGGCGGCCTGGTATGTCATCCATCCCTGTAAATGATACTGGCTGTCCCGCCTGCGCCTGTCTCTCCCGCCCGCCCAGAGCCCTGGCTGCCCCCCAAGTCTGCACCCCGAAGTACATGCAGGCAGCCAGGACACCAGAGCTTCTGAAGGCCAGGACCGAATCCCTCTTCCCACAGTGCTGTCTGGGCTGGACCTGTGGCCCTGCCCACTCCCTTGCCCTCCAGGACACAGCTGCGGCCCTGGGGAGGGTGCATGCTCCAGGTCAGCAGGGCTGCGTAGCCCCACACCCACGCTCACGCTGGAGACCGCAGACTGCGCCCGCGGAGGCCAGATGGCTCCTTCCTGTGCTTCTGGCAGAGGGACCCTGGGGCCCCACATGGCCCGAGCCAGCCTGGCTGCTTTGGCCCTGTGGCCCCTCCGAGCAGCTTACTTACACACGGCGGGCAGGGGGCCAGGGAGAGTCGGAGATGGGCAGGGTAGGGGTCCCACTGGCAGGGGGCCCTCAGCTTCTCGGGTCCCTGAGCCCCTCCTCACTGAGTTGAGGATGTCAGATATCCTGGGGGCTGGGGTGGAATAGACAGATGTGAACACAGAGAGGGGGCATGCAGGAGAGAATCCACAGGCTGAGAGCCAAGCCAGAGAGGGAGGGGACCCAGGGGGATGGGGGCAAAGGAGGGGGATACAGGGATGGAAGGGGGAGGGGAAGGAAAAGGATGGGGGAGGGTGGGGGAGGGGACACGGGGACAGGGAGGAGGGGGTACAAGGGGATAGAGGAGTCGTGGGGGAATGGACTGGTGGGGGACAAGGGATACAGGGGTATGGAGGGGGCACAGAGTATGGACAAAGACACAGCAAGTGGAAGGGCATGGGTAAGGAGGGGGACATGGAGGACAGAGAAGGACATGGGAACACGGCACAGGGGATGGAAGGGAACAGGATGGATGAGGACGGGGAGGATGTGGAGGATGCTGGCAGTGGAAGGACAAACGCAGCGGCAGCAGGCTGGAGGCAGAGCCCTGTGGGTCGCGGGCGGAGCTGAAGCCGAGTGGGCACAGGCGCCCTCTGAGGAGAGCAATCTGGGTGGCGAGAAGCCAGGGGCCACTGCATGGCACAGGCGGCAGAGGATGGCGGGAGGGAAGGACATCTGAGAGGAAGCACGGCCCTGACACATGGGCAGCCCCAGTCGGCGCAAGGGCTCCTGGCTGGGGTCACTGTCCCAGCACCTCTCAGGGTTAGGGGCACTTGGGGACCAGGGACAGCCCAGGGAGCAGGCTGCTGGGCAGGGTGACCATGACAGGGTGTCTGGGTGTGAGGTCGGGGGGTGGGAGCATCTCCAGCGAGGCAGCCTGAGGGGCCTGGGGGACGGGCCGGCTGCCAGTTGTGGGGAGGTCGCTAGCCGGCAGATGGCATGAGGTGGGCGGCGTGCAGGGGCAGCGGGAGGGCAGGAGGGAGCCGAGCCTTGGCAATGCCATCGGGCACCTGGCCCTCAGGGAGCTGTGCACACGGCCATTGCAGCGAGCATGGCAGAGGGACGGCAGGCCGGGCACCACTACTTACACGGGGCGGTCAGGGGGCCTAGGAGACCTGGAGACAGGCAGGGCGGGGGGCCCTCAGCTTCTGGGGTTCCCGAGCCCCTCCTCCCTGAGCTCAGGATATCAGAGATCCTGGGGGCTGGGGCAGAACAGACAGCACACGAGCGGAAGACAAACAGACAAATGAGGAGGTGGCAGAGCTGACAGGAAGGGGGTGCCCTGGTGACCATGGGGCCAAAGAACATCTTTCAGGGGACCCGGGACAGCCCAGGAGCCCCGAGCAGACAGACAGGAGTGCAGGGCAGCCTCCCCCTGGCCAAGCTGGCACACAGGCGGCCCCTGCTGAGCAAAGGCAGCCCTGGGGAGCCCCAGTGTGGGCGGTGAGGGAAACAGCCAGAGTCAGCAGCCCACACTCAGCTGGCCTGGCTCTCCAGTGTCCCTCAGAGGGTTGCTAGGTCCTCCAAAGTGACCCCTGCAGCACTTATGTGGGGCCAACAGGGGTAAGGGGTGCCAGAGATGGCACGGACGGGGCCCTCGCTTCTGGAGCTCCCGAGCCCCTCCTCCCTGAGCTCAGGATATCGGGGCCGCTGGGGGTTGGAGCAGCCCAAAGGCAGCGGGTGAGTGGTGGGCACTCAGGGGAGACGGGGGTGGGCGGGCTTAGGGGGCCAGAAAGGGCAGGAGGGAGGTTACGCCTGCAGACTCCCAGGGCACCAAGGGGCTGGGAGGCAGAGCGGGGATGGTCATCCCCTGGGGCCACTCCCAGGGTCAGGAGCGAGGGCTGCATGAGACCAAGCCAGGCAGTGGGAGTGACAGTCTTACATGGCCTGATGGCTGCTGGGCCTGCCCTTCCCTGCTGCCTGCCCAGGCTCTGACCCTCATGTGCTACTTCACCCTGTCTTCTGTCCCCTGGGGATGTCCTGAAGGCAGCAGCTTAGCCCTAAGTGGGGGCCTGACCCTGGGGCCTGGAGGCGTGAGGCTCCATCTTAGAGAGGCAAAGAAGCAGCAGAGAGGCGGGGGAACCAGCTGCTGATGCCCAGAGGTCACTCCTGGCCAGTGTGGAAGGGACCCCCAGGTCAGGGTGGCACAGAAGCCCACAGCAGGGCAGGGCTCCTGAGCTGGCAAAGGATGCACGGAAGCGGGTTCAGCTGCCCGGTCACTCACCCGTGCAAGGTGGACAGAATGACAAGCTTAAGGAACCAGAGAAGAACGGGGTGTGGAGCAAGTTCAACACACACACTCCGGCTGGAGCAGAGAGCAGGTCTCACCACACAGCTGGGGCTCCTTCCCTGGATACTGCCTGACCCCCGGCCTCTGAGCCACCACACGTATCCCTATGGCACAGGACGCGGGACCCCCGAAGGCTCCCTGCCCCGAGGAGCGGCCAGCACGGCCCAGCAGGTACCTTTAGCGTCCTCGTCCTCCATGGTCGTGTTGGTACTGTCAGACGACTCCTGAGGAGACAGGGAGGTGAGGGTCAAGACCTGGCCTGGGCAGGCGGGGTGTGGACAGCCATGGGACCAGCCCAGCCGCTCCATCAGCGCTCAGGGACAGGCCCTTCGCAACAGGACCGCAGCCCTGGAGGTCCTCACAGTGCGGACACTGGAGAAGGGCGCCCCTGGGGCTCATGATGTCCCCACATGGCCACCCATGTCCCCAAGACCCAAGGTGCTCAGCAGCCCCTCCAGTGGGAGAAGCTAACATCCCGTGACCCCAGACACAGTGGGATTCGGCCGACTCCTGGGAACACAGGGGCAGCCAGAGGCCTGTGCCTTTGCCAGGCAGGCCAAGCAGCTTTCTAATGGGCTTGCTCAGGTCCCCGGCACCCACATCCTCTCCCCCAGAAGAGGCGAGATCCTCAGGTCCAGGCTTTTCAGAGAAAAAGTGGCTGTGTGCCACATGCCCAGGAGGTCTGCTGCGCTCCTCGGAGGGCACAACCGCGAAGGCCCCAGAAGATCCGGGCCCTGCCCTGGACCCCAGCTGGACCCTGCTCTAGGCCCATGGTCAGAAGTGCGGTCTTCAGGCACAGGGTCGGCCCAGCTGTGGAGGTTGTCCAGGGGCCCCTCCAGACACACAGAGCCCCAGGGATGCCTGAAACCTAGACAGGAGGAAGCCATGGCTTTGGTGCCCAGCACTGTGGGTGCTATTGGCCCTGATGCCCAGCTCAGAAACGGTGTCCTCTGATGATGGCCATGGTGAGGCACTGGCCAGAAGGGAGGGGCCACTGGAGGCACTGTGGCCGCTCGTCAGGGGGCCCAGGCCTGGGCAGAAGTCCGACCTGCCCGTCCCGCATGACTGTGTCCTGGAAATGCCTGGCCTCTGCCCTCCCTCCCAGTGCCACCAAGAGCCAGCCCTGCCCCGGGCCCGTGATGATGCCGATGTGATGGCAGCAGATGGCACAGCAGAGAGAGCAGGGGGTCCACTCAGCAGGAAGCGCTGGGGCCACACAGGGGGCTGGGGAGGAGGGGAGTGGAAGTGAGGGACACTGTCCTCAAGAAGTGGACCGGCCCCCAGCATCAGGGGCGCCCTGGAGCCCAGTTGAGCTTGCCCATGTGCTGATGTGGTGCAGCCTGGGAGCTGGCTTTCTGACACGTGTCCTGCTGTCACCACACACCTGCCCTCCACTCTGAGCAGCTGCCTCCCCAGGCCACCGTCCAGACCCTCGTCCTGGGCCCGGCGCCTCCTGCCCAAGGAAGGGGGAGGAGGAGAGAGCGGCGCAGTACCTTAATCCCGTCCACTGGGTTATGGATAACGGTGGTTTGAGGCTCCTATAGAAGGCGGCAGACAGAGGAAGGAAAGAGGGAAAGTGAGAAAGAAGGAAGCAGGGGACGGGAGAGCCAGGGAGATAGAGGAGGAGTGGGTGGTGACCAGAATCCACCGGAGAGAGTGCAGAGCAGAGGGGACAGGGATGGAGGCGGCAGGCGGTCAGCAAGATGGCCCAAGAGGGATGGAGGAGCAGAGGTCAGCGATGGCCCCCGGGTGGAGGAGCAGGCAGGTGGAACCACAGATTGCCCCAGGCTGAGACAGTGCCCATTGGCCTGCCCACCCAAGCACGGAGCTCTCAGGGCTGTCCTCGCTGTGCTGCCTGGGCCCTGCCCAGCACAGGGACACAGGCTTGGAGATGTCATGGAGTGGGCGTGGCACATGGATGGACAGAGTCCGAGGTGGGGCTGGCTGTGAGGCCGGAGTGTCGAGGTGCAGGTGCCTGGCACCCTCCTGCCATAGCCCACTGCTCCAGGCAGGCTCGGCTACCTCCTAGAAGCCAGCTGGACCTCGAGGGGACACCAAGCACACTTCCAGCAAACTGTACACCCCTAGGACAGCACGGGCACTTGGGTGACACAGCAAGGATCTGGCACCACGACCACAGTGGTGCTCCCCTGCACACAAGCCCCAGGGCCAGCGGCCCGGGGCTACCAGATACTTTTCAGGGTGCAGGAGGGGCATTGCAGTGCTTCTCCCCTCCCTGGCAAGGGGCCCTGAGCCTGGCAGGGTTTGCCAGCTCTGTGGGCCCTGGCTCCGCGTTTGGCTGCTGCTTGGGCATCCACCCCACACCACTGGACCCTTCTCCCTGCACTCAGGGCTGCTATGCTGCCAGTACCCTGAAGCCCAGCCCGGCCTTCAGAGGCCAGGGATGAGGTCCCTGGGGGCCTGGGAGCTCCCTCGTCCCTGCCTCATCTGTCTCCAGAAGCCTCTTGTTGCCTTCTCGCAGGGTGACCCACAAGAAGGCGAGGTGAGGGGCCAGGCCCCAAAGAGGGGCTCCCCAGAGTCCTGCACCTGCCTAAGCCTGGGTGACAGCAGCCTCTCCCCTCTGGGGACTCAGCCCCAACCCCCGGGCCCCAGCGAGGTGGAGACTGGGGGCAGGTCTCTCGGACAGAGGGGTGCGCACGGAGGCAGGGCTGTGGGCTCCGTACCAGGGCGGCAGGAGGGAGCGTCCCTTTGGGGCTGGTGATGGCCGAACTGTTTTTGGTGCTGTTTGTCTGGGGCTGTGGAGAGACGGAGGAGTGGTTAGGGGAGAAGGGCCACCCACCCCTCCCAGGCTGGCTGGGGTGCAGAGCTTCAGGGCCTCACCTTGACTCCATCTGCCTTCTTGTTGAGCAAACTCTTGGCTGCTGCGTGGGGAGGGAAGGAGGCACCCTGAGCAGTGGGCCTGGGACCCCTGCGCCCCCGACCCCCACCCACCTCAGCTCTTTTCTGGGGGAGGCCCAGGCCCCGAGCCTGGCCCAGAGCAGCAACAGAACCTGGCAAGGAGGGAGGCCCAGCCTGGCCAGGAACCCTCGCCCCAGGACGGGTCCCTCCCATGTCATCTTCTGCAGCCCCAGAGCTCTGCAGGGCACCAAGGAACCATCAAGGCCTGGCTGCCCAGCCACGCAGAGGCCTATCCCAGCCAGATGCCTGGCCACCCACTGGGACTGCGACTTCAGCACCAGTGGCCTTCGCCCTGTTGCCCTCCTGAACTGTCTGGCCCCTGGCTGGGGGCCACTTTGGGGGGCCAATGCCTGGGGCCAGCACTGGCCTCTTTGTCCCCAGTGCTCAGGACGCTTGGCCCAGCAGGTGGCCCTTGTGAGCCCAGCAGTCCCCTTGGAGGTCTGAGTGGCCTGGCTCTGCCTGTTCACCACCCCCAGAACCTACATCCTCCATGGCACAGGTTAGAATTCTAATTACAGAACAAAAACAAAAACAACAACAAAAAAAGGAAGTCAGCTTACCTTACAGAAAAGGAAAGGTTGAGGAAGGGAAGGAATGAAGAAGGAAAAGAGAGGAAGAGAGAAAACAAGATTTGTTGGTCGGGCAGGCATTCACCCAGGGCAGCGAAGCCAGCCCGTCTTGGCCCCGCACTGCGGGCACAGCGGGTTAGGGAAGCGACAGGGGCTGGCTCGGCACAGGGCAGCGTAGAGTGTGAGTTCCTCACCCCAGGACTGGAGGAGGCAGCCCCCACCCACCCACTCCCACATGTGACCTTGGGCCCTCCTGCTGCTGCCCCAAGGCAGGCCTCTTCGGGGCCATGGAGACAGATGGGCACATTCCAACCTGGGCTTCGTCCTCAAACAGAGTCTCCCGGCAAGCACAGCAGGGTCAGCTTATACAGTCAGAGATGCAGATCCCCAGCCACCCGGCTCCCCAAGTCAGGACCCTGGGGGCTCAGCACCCACCACAGCCCCCAGGCTCCCTTCACAGCCCAAGCCTGGGCCCTGCCATTGCCTGCTGACCACCTCCCTCCCTGCCACGTGACCGTGGCTGGCTGCTCCCCACTCTGCACGTGGGGCTGGGGATCCCGAAGACGGGCGCAGCACTGGGTGATGGGCACTCAGTCTCTGCTCATAGCCTCCCTGCCTTGTGGACCTGTTAGGTCTCCAGGACCCACACATTTAACCCCAAACCTGACTCCTGGGTTCTCCTCTGGATTTCACGCTCTGAGGCTGCCGCAGAGAGGGGTCCCTGATGCCCCAGGGCAGCCCTGACTGCGGCTCCCACTGCCCTGCAGCCAGGGAAGCCGAACACCTCCCCTCTCTGGCTAGACTCTGTGCCCCAGCGCAGGGACAGGCCAGTCCTGGCCAGGCGCTGCCCCTTTATCTGTGCCCCCCCCCAACACACAGCAGTCCCAGGCCTGGAGATCCTCTCTCTGCTGGCGGCTTGCTTCGGGCTGCAGAAGGAATGGCCTCTCCCTGGGGCCTGAGGGAGACACCCAGCCCTGTTTTGAGGACCCTCGTCACGAGGAGCTGAGCATCAGGGAGGAACCCTGTCCTTTTTAGGGACACAGACTTCAAAGATGTGGCAATCTCCATGGGCAGGTTGCACAGGGGCCTCACCCCCTCCCTGCAGCCCTGCAGCCCTGCATATTTCCAGCTGGATTCTGCATGGGCACCAGTAGAGCCAGTATTGGTCCAAGACCTGGCTGGGCAGCGAGATGCCTCCCACCTTTCCATCGGCCAGGGAAGCAGTGGCAGAGACAAGACTGTCCTTCATCCTTAGAGGCCTCCATTTAGGACCCTGAGTTTGTGAAAACCCGTATTTCCAAGCCGCGTTACTGGGGGTGTTAAAAAGTTTTCCAAGGGAAGTAAAAGGACTGTTTAGTCTCAGGTGAATGTACTCCTCTGAGCACTCAGGCCACACTGTGGCCAAGGCCGGGGCAGACACTGCATCCTCCGAGCAGCCCTTTTTATGCCAGTCCCCGTGTGTGTCCTGGGCGCAACAGTGGAGTGTCCAGCCCGGCCCTCCATGAGCACACAGCTCCTGTCCACGCCTTTCCCAGGCCACCTCTTCCTCCAACATCCACATCTGTCCCAGACTACCTAGAGTCACATGGCCAGGACCCTATCTGCGCCATCCACACTGGCATCCCCAGTCAGGGAGCCTCCTTTTCGGGGTCTCCGGTAAAAGCGTTTATTAAGTGCAGCAGGAGCCACAGACGGAACCCAGGCTGAGACCCACCCATCCCCAGCCTCAAGCCAAGCAGCTGGCCACCAGTCCCCTCCGCACTCTTGCCTGGCCAATGCTGGAGGGATGGTGGAGGCCATCCACCTGCAGCACGCTCTGCAGCCAGGGCCTCTCTGCTGGACGAGGGACCCCACCACAGCTGGACATCTGGCAGAGATGTGTGTCCCTAGAGTACTCGGGACCTCTGCCCCCTAGATGGACAGGCCCCCCAGACAGCCATGCCAGGCTGCGTCTGCATGCACTGACCCCTCCAGGACAGGGTGGCCTGGGCGCCTGGGCGGAGCCGCACATGCTGGCGGCCTCATGCACCGCCGCCCTGGCCAACTTGCAGGCAGGCGGGCATTGCAGCAGGAGCCCCGGGCACAGCGTGGCTCACAGGAGGCCTGTGTTGCACTGCTGTCCCTGGGCAGCGGGTCCCCCGGGAGCCTCTAGCTTCGTCTTTTCCTCAACCCAGCTACTCCCTCCGCGTGTGCTCAGAGTGGCTGTGAATGTGGCCGGGCCTGTCTGCTGGGCCCTCCCGGGATGGCGAAGTTCCCCCCAAGAGGAGGGTCCTCTGGCCGTGAAGGCCTTGCTGTGGCCTGGGGGGCCATGGGGTGGAGCTGGGTGGCCCTGGGCAGGGAGACCCCCACACTCTGGGGCCTCTGTCCTGCCCCCTCCAGGGCGCTGGAGGCTCCTGTCCAAGCTGTGGCTCAGCCGACACCTGTGCCAGCCCTGAGCTTGGGGAGCGGCTGTGGAGCCCCAGAGGAGGTCCCTGGGCCGCCAGCCCTTAGGGGTCAGCAGAGCTTCCTCCTCCCTCAGACCTGGGACTGGGTGAGAAGGCGCTCCAGAAAGGATCAGAGAGGTCTTCCAGAAGCCTTGCCCACCCCAGCCTCCACCCCAGGGCAGACCTGCTGGAGGCTCCACAGCTCAGACCGCCAGCTCCGCCTGCTGAAGGGGACCAGCCATAGTCCCTGGCTCCCCCAGAGCAGCACCCTGCCTCACTGGCCCTGCTCCAGGGCCCAGACCCCCGGCAGCAGGCTCTGCGGCTCCCTCTGAAGCTCGGGTCACTCTGAATGGGGGTCTCCAGACCCCCACGCCCCAGGGGCCACCTAGCCAGCCACTCCCGCAGGCAAGAAGAGGGGTGGGTGGCTACTCCCTGTCCTAGGTGAGCCCTGCCGGCCTGTGACCACAGCGGGAGCAGGGGCTCCCGGGGGCCTCTGGGGCGGCTCTGGGGGCCTGGCCAGCAGCTGCGTGCAGCAGGGGGCTGCATGCCAACAGGAAGGGTGGGCAGGAGTGGGTGGACGCTGGGCAAGACACATCTACCTTGTTCCACCAGCCCCATGGTGGTGCCGGAGGCCGCGGTGGACATTGTGGCTGGAGCGGTGGTCTGTCTGCCCACTGTTAGCGCCGGGTTAGAGACGAGGGGTTGGGGGTGGACACACACGGGGTGGGGGGCGAGGTGAGGAAAGAGAAGAGACAAAGGAAGCAGAAGAAGATTAGAGTTAAAGTGTAGGTGGCTCCAGAGTCCCTTTCTCAGGAGAGGGAGACAAGACTGGGCCGACTGACACGGAAGAGCATTCGCCTCCTTTCTCCTCAGAACCCCGGGGGGCTTCTGGTGCCCGGTGAGCAGGCGTGTGGCACACGGCAGACAGACAGCCACATTAGCACTGGTGTGACCGTGTGTGCCCGCTCCGGGCAGGATGGCATCACAGCAAGGAACAGGAGGGGTGCCAGGTGCAACGGACAACGAGAGGCGGCCACAGACGCTCGCACACGCGGTGTTGGACGACGGACGGAGAAGCCATGGGCACGGCTGGCGGGGTGCTGGGGCTTGCCGCACCCTGGGCCTCGGGTTCTCTAGCAGACCCCCGAGGTTTAACTCACCACTGCCCACCCGAGCAGCCAGTGCTCCAGAGAGCCGTCCCAGTCAGAGTGCAGACCCCACGCGCACCCATCCCGCTCTGCCGCCTCCCACGCGCACCGCAGTGCTCAGGTCACTGACACAAGGAGGCCACAGGCTGCCGGACAGACGCCTGGACAGACACGTGTGCAGGCAGGGCAGTAGGCGGCACAGACATGGAGGTGTCGGGCAAAGGACATGGACCCAACACAGAGGAGACAGGGTGGGGGACTGCGAGGCCCAGAGGCAGCCCCAGGAGGAAGCCCAGGGGGCCGGCTGCGAGCTGATGGCAGAGGCCTGGCTGGACTTCCTGCCGCAGCCTGCGGGGCGAGGTGGCATCAGTCCTCCCTGGAGAAGAGCGTCTCACCTGAGAAATTCCGTGTGGCCAGCATGGTGGTGAGGATGGCACCCTGCAAGAGACACAGACAAAGCCCAGCCGCCTTGTTAGCCTCCCCAGGTGGCCAGAAGCAGGCACCTCTCTGTCCTCCCAGAGCTCTCAGCCTTCCAGAGGAAGCCTGGAGCCCAGCAGCTGCCTCTGATCGCCAATGTCCAGAACTGGAGCTTGCCCAGGACCTTGCGCCTGCCCACTGCCCCTGCCCATGACTCCCAAGTGCTTTAAGAACTCCCAGACTCAGGAGCTGCCAGGACCACCTGTCACCAGGGCAGCGTCCTCAGCCCCTCCTTTCCCTGCAGGCCCAAGGCAGGCGGCTGCCATCCTCAGGGTTTTGGGGAGAACCAGCCCATCCAGCCCTCCCTAATGCAGGGTGTGTGGTACTTTCTGCAGTGCCAGGCTGGGCAGCACTCACCTTGAGCTTCCTCCTGGCATTGAACTTCTTCAGACACTCCACAGTCTCCTGTCTGTGCATCATGGAGGCCACAGTGGAGCGTTGCTGCAGGGAGAGGGACATCACGGGCGGCAAGGAGCATGGGAAACAATGGTCTTGTTCCCAAGGGGGCGACCCCAGTGAGTCAGGGGAGGCCCAGGACTTTGGGTGGGTAGCATCCCTGGGCCCCACATTCAGAGAGCCACCGTGACTTTAGGCCTGATGTCTCCTGCTTTACTTGCTCCTGGCCCCTCACAGACAGGACTGGGGACAGGAGGAAGCAGCCTCCTTTTCTCCTTATGCACCCCTCACTCAAGCCTGGTCCTCAAAAACTAGCAGCGGATCCCAGGCCAGAGGCTACCAGGAGCGCCCAGGCCACCCGGGGTGCCTTCAGGTGTGAGGAACGGAGCCTGGCTGCCCCCTTGGCAGCGGCCTGTTCCATGACAGCGAGGTCGACTTACACAGACCCACGGGTGCTTCAGGGCCTCGTGGGCCGTGATGCGCTTGGCAGGGTTGATTGTCAGCATCTGGTTGATGAGGTTTTTGGCTTCAGGAGTGACGGTGTCCCACTCAGGGGACGGGAACTAGACCGGGAAAAGCATGCAGGCTGAGGCTGACGCCCCTCCACAGGGGCACCCCGAGTGTGGAAGGGCAGGACGCAGGTGAGACTGCGGGTCCCCTATCCCACCCCACATACTCACGTCGTAGGCCCCGGCCTTGATCTGCTGGTAGAGCTTGTGTTGGTCCTCATCCCAGAAGGGAGGGTAGCCCACCAGCAGGATGTACAGGATCACCCCTGTGACGGGACAGGGCCATGAGCACACGGCCCACAAAGGAGGCCCCCACCCAGGGGTGTCCTGGCCAGGGTCCGACAGCCCTGGGCACCCCCCACCAACCCTCACACTGGGGCCAGACTGCTGTGCAGGCGGATGCCACGGTGGACCCAGGTCACGTGAGCAGGTCTACCTGCCCCAAGACAGGCGCCCCGGGCCCCTCATGGGTCTCACCACACGCCCAGATGTCCACGGGCTTGCCATACGCCTCCTTGCGCAGGACCTCCGGGGACAGGTAGCCTGGCGTGCCAGCAAAGCCTGCCGAAGGGGAAGGGGCTGTGAAGGGCTGCGAGGGGCCGCCTGCACACCCTGCCCTCCCCGCGGGCACTCACCGAACCACGCCTGCTGGTCCCCCTGCACCTCAATGGCTAGCCCGAAGTCTGCCAGCTTCACTGCGGCCCCTTTGCACTTGCTGGCCAGGAGCAGGTTCTCGGGCTACAGAGAGGTGGCCGTGAGCACCGTGTGAAGCCCGGAGGAGTTACAGAAGAGGAGGGGAGGAAACAGAGGGACAGGTTTGCAGGAGAGGGGCTCACAGGCCTGACCTTCCCGTCCATGGTGGCCCGGGCACAGGTGAGTCCAGGCCTGCACCCTGCAGCCCAGCTCTCCCTGGGGACAGTGAGTGGCCCCAGCCTTCCATAGGGAAGGTGGCTTTTAGCTCAAGCTTGGATCCCCTGCAACTCAGACCAGGAATCTGGGGGCCTGACAAGCCAAAACCTCCAGCTCACCTTACAAGCGAGAGTGAGCATGGTGGTCCCCACAGCCAGGGGAGGGCAAGCCTCCCCTTTCCAGGGATTCAGTTGGGGGGGGGGGTTCTGCTAGAGGCTGTGCAGTTCCAGCCTGGACAGTGCCCCTTGAGGGCAAGGAGGAATGTCCGGGGGCTGCAGTGCCCAGGGCAGCCCAGAACATCCACGCCAGGCCCAGTGGCTCCGGTCAGCCCTGCACATGGGCAGGCAGGAGGCCCTGCTTTACCCACCTGCCCACTTGAGTGGCTGGGGAAAGATGGCTCAGGCCCACTTGGGGCAGTGCCCTGGCTCAAGCCAAGGACACTTGTTCCTAGCCCAGGGGCTGCCATCCCTGGTCTGACCCTCCAGTCCACTTTCCAGGCCGTGACTTTCACAGGTTCCATCAGCAGCTGAGCTTCTCCCAGTCCCACAGACACAGGACCGCTGCGGGTCACACTGCCACTAACAATGAGCCACCAAAGAGACAACATGCCTCCACCCAGCCCGCTGCCCGTGTGGTCACCTGAGAATTTAACATGAGACACATGGTCCTTGCAATCGATGCAATGCACCAGCCCCACACGAATCTGGCTCGGCTGAGTGCTCAAGCTCTCCTTGCCGCTCTGAGCACCCCAAGGGCTCCCTTGGCACGCAGAGCACAGGGGTAAGGCCTGTCCATCTGGATTCTGTCCACGTGAGCCAGGCAGGGGCTCCAGCAGCCCACTCTGACCTCACATTGAGAGTGTGACAGTACGGGCTGCCTGGCTCTGCTTCTGGGCCTGACGCGGGCACTGAGTGCACCTAGGCCTCAGGAAACCCTGAGCAAGGTGGCCCGGCACCCAGAGGGATGCACAGGATGGCCTGGCCCAGGGCCATGCAGCTAGGCCTCCGCCCAGGCTCCACTCTGCCTCCTGGACACTCCAAGAAGGCACCGATGCCCTCGGCTCTCAGCCAAGCCCACCACTCAGCCACTTCTGGGAAAGGAAGGACATTCTGCTCCCGCAGCAGGAGCTGTGGGGACTACAGCAAGGATTCCATCCACCCCAGGAACTGAGGGTGTGGAGAGCACCCACTCCACTTCTACGCCTCCACCTCAGTTAGCCAGATACACCACGGGTCCCAGGAAGAAAGTGCGACATCCTTGATGCACGGCCCCTCCTCTCAGGGACACTGTCTGACGCTGGCTCAGCCCAGGCAGGGACAGGGCTGGGAGGAGGTGGCTGCCAAGACCAGCACCCCTCAGTCACGGCCTTGGGAAGGGTGAGTCCCGATCAGCAGGACACTCAAGACAAGACTGGTCCTGCACCTGCAGGGCTGGGCCCAGCTCCACCAGCCTCTGAGCAGCAGTGGGCTGAGCAGGCCCCGAGGGAGCTGGGGCTGGAGGAGAGATTGGAGGGAAGGAGGAGAGGCAGGAGGGAGAAGCTGCAGCCACCCTGCGCCCGGGGGTGACAAACCTTTGCAACAGAGCCTGGAGCCCACAGCTCAGCTCGGGGGAGCCGAGCCCCAGAGAGCAGGCTGGGAGGAAAGGCGCCTGAGGCCAGCTCACACCTCCCTGCCCCCAGCAGCACCAGCCCCAGGTCTCCCCTCCTGCCAGGGCCTCCTCTTGGTAGAAGTCCAGAAAGTGAGCCCCTCAGTGCACGTTTGTGGACAGGCAGGTTGCTGACGCTGCCCTTCCAGCCCTGGAGGCACCAGGCAGAGGTGTGCAGACGCCCCACATGACACGAGCGACTCCACGTCTCCTCACACATCTGCGTGCATGCACACGTGCACACAAACCCCATACGCGCACACACACGAGCACTTGTGCATACACCTCTACACACACGTACACACATGCAGACACACACGCACCTCTGTGTACCCACATACAGGCATATGTTGTGCCTCTATGAACACACACAGACTATGCACACATGTGCTTCTGTGTACACATACCTCCACGTGCACACATGTACACAAGACTATGCACTCACACGTGTACATACTCTCATGTGTGTACACACAAACCTGCACATATTTGTGCACAAATGCCCATATGCACATGGTACACATATGCCCTTACACATGGGCTGTGCACACACACACACACACACACACACTCAGACCTCCATGCAGGCACACAGCACACACACCTGGCCGCCTCCCACGTCCCTCACTGCACATGCTCAGCCTTTCACACAGCACACAGTGTGGACAACAGACCCGCACACAGCAGGCCAGGAACTCACCTTGAGGTCTCTGTGGACGACCCCCATTTGGTGGCAATGGAGTACGGCCTCCAGGATCTGCTGGATGCAATGACTGCAGCAAACGGCAGGCAGGTTAGAGCAGTGGCCTGGGGTGGGCTGTGTGGCCTGGGGGCATGCAGAGGATGCGGGGAGTCCAGCCAGGAGATGCTAACCAGGGCCTCTGGGACTGCAGCCACCCGGCAGTAGCCCTGCCTTCCCCTTTGGCCCAGGTCAGCTCCGGGGGCAGGGCCAGGCCCAGGCCCAGAGACGAGACTTTCAGGGCACACCCATTCCCGGTGTCCCACCCCAGGTCATCTTGGCCAGACTGACCCTAAGCTGGAGACACCAGGCCGACCTATACTCTGTAAGGCAGGCAGCAGCGAGGGCAGGGCGGGCCAGGAGGATGGGAAATGGAGGCAGAGAAGGGCAGAGTGGGCAGGGTAGAAGCGTGGGTGCCACTGAGTGTGGTGAGCCCAGGCTGAAGCCCCGGTCTGCCCTGGAGCAGCGATAACACATAGTGTGCATGTGACTTCCCTTAACCCAGGTGTGCTCACACAGAAAGGCATGCTCACTAGGGGGTTTGTGCTGGGCAGCTGGGCTCTGCCAGCCCTGGGGTGACAGCTCAGCTCCTGGGCACTGCTGCTCCCCAGCACAGGGAGCCCCCTCTTCAGGATGAGTCCTTGGGAGGGCCCTTCCCAGCTGCCTCAGGCCACCTGCCACCAGGCCCTGAGTACACAGTGCCTGGAGCCCCCAGGCACAGGGTCCCACCCAGCCCAACTGCAGGGTGCAGATGCAGCCCTCTGCATCCTAATGGGGTGAGGGGATGCTGACATTGGTGGGGTTCAGAGCCCTGGCAGCCCCTTCTCAGAGCTCTGAGGGTTGGAACCACAATCTCTTGCTCACTCCACTGCCCTAGGTCTCCCCTCTGCCACTCCTGCTGCTCCCAAAGGGGTATCACTGGTCAGGAGCCTCTACTCTCGCTGATACCTTCCTCTGTCTGGTGCCATCCCTTGTCTTTGGATCTATCATTTGGAGTGGTGGTCAGTCCCCTGTAGGCCTGAGGCTGTGGCCCGGGCACTGCCCCCAGGCCTGCAGAGTGCAGAGCGCCTCCTAGTGGCCAACAGGCCCATCATACATTGCTGCACACATAGGATCAGGGTCAGGCCCTGAGGTCACTCCAGCCCCTGCTGTGTCCTGGGCCTCAATGCCAGCCTTCCTTCCAGCTGTCTAGTGGCCGACCCAGCCCTGCAGGCCTCCCATTCGGAGGTGTCACCTCCGCAGACCAGTGGAGGTTCCACCTGGCCATGCATCCCCCAAGTCCACCCTGCAGCAGGAGTTGGAGCTCCTGAGACACCTTCTCATGTCCTGGCTGCAGCTCGGGGCCAGGCGCTCTGTGGCCCCTGTCCCCCGATGCCACTCTCCAGCTCGTGGGGCACCGCTCATCCCCATGTTCTCCCTGACTGCCCTCCTGGCAAGACAAACAGCTTGAAAGACCTCTCTGCGCGTCCATGGGCAGCAGCCGCTGCTGCTGGGGCCCTGCCCTCGCCCAGCCCACTTATCATGTATGTCACAGCCCCCCGAGAGCGGTCACCAGTGCCTCGAATGAACATGCTGGTTAAGCAATTCGGGATGCCCCAGAAGAACACAAGTGCCCGGACTGTGTCAGATCACAGGGACCATGACAGCCTGCAGGAGGAGAGGACAGCCACACAGAGCAGCCCTGGCCTCCTCCCTGGCAGAACCAACCCCTCTTGAGGCTTTGCTCTACGGTCTGCATGGTTTAGAAAGTCACTTTTTGGTCAAAATCATCCACAAGGGTCAGGGAGTAGCTCGGTAGTAGAGCACTTGCCTAGCATGTGCAGTTCAATCCCCAGCACTAGAGAGAGATAGACAGACAGACAGGGAGACCATCCCAAGCAGCAATGTGGGCCCCAGCCCGCCTCTGGATGTTATTCTCAGTCTGGGGATACCCCTCTGAGTACAGTCAGCATCTCCCTAGATCCCTTCCATCTTTCACAAGTCAGATTGTTTTCTGTTTGTTTTTATTTTTTTGAGGTGAGATATCAGCTATGTGGCTTAGTTGGGTTTTGAACTCCTAAACTCAAGTAATCCTGCTGCCTCAGCCTCCTAAGTAGGTGGGACTACAGTCATATGCCACCATGACTGGCTTCTAAGCTTAAAACAAGTTCTAAATATTTTGTATGTTGTTTTCTCTGTTTTGCAAAAGACTTGGATAACCCTCAAACTCTCCCACAAACTCCAAAATAAAAATCCCACTTCCCTTTTAGAAACAAATTCAGAGGGCTGGGGATTTAGCTCAGTGGTTCTGACGCCTGCCTCGAAAGCACAAGGTCCCAAGTTCGATCCCCAGTACCTCCCCAAAAAAACAAATTCAGAACGTTTGTTTCCTCTTCCTCCTGAGAGCAGCCCTGTAGAAACACATCTGAGGGGTGCACTGGGCAGGCACCTGGGGACTCTCGACTCACCTGCCCAGGCCAGACCTGTGAGCATCCAGATCGTGCCACCCTGCCCTGGTGCTCTGTTCCCTACCTCACTCTCCAACCTAGGGCGAGTTGAGATCCCTGATTTCCATGCTCCACTGTGAGTTCCAGTGAAGCCTGTGGGGCAGGCTCCCAGTCGGACACTCCATTAGTCACGACTGCTCACAGGCTGTCTTGTGTCTTCTCCTTATGGCTTGTACCTAGATGTCCCCCAAAGCCTCATTCAGTCATAGGTGGGTAGTTTCAAAAGTGGCTAGATTAGGGTGTGTGGATGTGGATTAAGGAGGTGATACTTGTAACCTGGCTGGAATATAAAGGGAGAAAGAAGGCAGGTTTGCTGCTGCTGCCGCCGCCACTGACTCCTGTCTACCCTGCCATGGACTGTTTCTCCTCTGCAATGCCCGTCTGCCATGCTGCCCTGCCTTGGAGACAACCAACTATGGACTGAAACCTCTACACACTGAGCTGAAATAAACCCTGCCTCCTTTAACTTGTGGGTGTTGGGTATTTTGTCTCAGAGATGAGAAAGTAACTAAGACACCCCTCTTCTGTGCAGGCCAAGTCCTGAGGGTCTGGCTACCCCACAGGCAAGGGCAGGGGTCACATTTTCAGGCAGCCCAAAAGAGGACTCTCCCTGGGGCTCCCTGGGGCCTCTCCCTCCCTATGCAACTTAAAACAGATGTCCAGGTCCTGGCACCCTCACAGGAGCCCAGAATCCCAAATAGAAAATGAGGGGTGCATGGTGGGATGGAGCCCCATCTCTTCTGGGCCAGGTGACCCAGAAGAAGTGCCCTGGGGGAGGTGTGGCTCTGCCATTGCACAGGCAGGGAGCAAGGGGCCTGGCAGGGACACGCAGCTCTTCCCTCTGCAACTCTGCTGTTTGCCAAAGGCTTCCAGCACTTGAAGCCCCCAGAAGCCCCAGCCTCATCCAGGAGGCTTGGTGCTGCAGCTGAGCAGGCCCAGCAGGGCCACGAGAGGGCGCTGTGAGCACGCCAGGCCAGAGGTCCTCCCTGCAGGGCACAGAGTGGCCTAGACTCTGGAAGGGCAGTGGCACACAGGGCCCCCTTCACCCCTGAGACTGTGTGCCTAGGTACATGCTCCTCCGAGCAGCCACCTCTGGCTTCCATCTGGCTGGGGGAATTCTGTGAAGGCCTCGGGGGCAGTGAGGACACAGGTGGCAGGGTCAGGGAGGGTCCAGATGGGCAGGTTGGGTTGATGGGTGCTATAGGGGTCAGGGGGCACCAGGCCCAGGTAGTGTCTGTCCATGGGCATTAGGCCCACGAACTGCCCAGCAGGGCCCAGGGCTGATCTGTGGCCAGAGTCTGCTGGGCCCTGGCCCTGGCCTGGCATCTATGGGGCCCACAGAGAACCCGGCCCACCCTCAGACACCCTCCAGACAGCAAGCATCTGGAGGAGCCAAGGGGACCCCCGAGTCTACCTGCCCAGCAGGCACCCCAAAGCGGGGCGTGGGGGTCTATTCCACTTCCTGCTTCTCAGGCAGGCAGAATACAAAGAAAAAGTCAGGTTGCTCCTCTCCGGGGCACAGGCTGCTTTCAAGCCACTGGGCAAGACACAGGGCCCTTCCCTGGAGAAGCAGTGCTTGGAGCCCCGTGGGGTCTGGGGCAAGTGTGAGGCCACAGCCCTTCTCATTACCCCAGGAGTCCCTCTCCCTGGCCAGCCCGTGGCGCCTGCGGCCTGCTAAGTGGGACCAGGACGCTCACACCTCCCACAGGGGCGCAAGGCCTGTGACGAAGGGCCAGCCACAGCAAGCTACTTCAGAAACCAACATTCATTCTCTTGATGAGAAATGTAATACATAACAGACACACAGTAATACATAACTGGCACACAGCTGTGACCCCAGCACTCTGCCACGGAGGCAGGAAGACCACAAGTTCGAGCTCAGCCCGGATAACTCCCCAACTTAGTGAGATTCTTGCCTCAAAATTAATAAATGAAAAAGGGGGTAGAGCTCAGTGCAAAGGCCCTGGGTGCAATTCCCAGTACCAAACAAACAGACAGGGCAGGGGGTGTGGCTCAGTGATAAGGCACCCATGAATTCGATCTCTAGTACTGGGGTGGAAAAAAAATAAGGATTTTTTTTTTCTGGTACTGGGAATCGAACTCAGGACTTTGCACTTGCCAGGCAGGCATGGAAACATAAGAATTTTTAAACAGACAAGATACAAATTTTCAAAGCATCCCTAACTCCTCTGCATGAAGATCACTGTAGCATTTTTCTCTATTGAATGCAGGTTTCTGTGGCTGAGCAGTGGACACGGCCCACCAGGCCCCCAGCTGTCCCTGAGCACAGCCAGGGGCCAGTATGGCTGCACCTCCCTGGCTGACAGTGTCAGCCTGGTCCCTGGCAGCAATGCCACCAACGGCCATCACTACGGCCACTGTCCCTCTTCATTGCCCTGCTGAGGCCAACCCAGAGGTCCATGAGGAGCCCTGGTGGGATGGAACCCCCGTCCCTCTGTCCCACCCACCCCATGCTGGAAGCCCAGGGGCCAGGGCTGAGCCCTGTGGATGGCACCCTGGGTGCAGAGGGGAGGTGGCCTGCCCTCTGCTGAGTCTCGGGTCCGCTCTGGCCCTCACTGCCCCCAGGTGCGGTATGCAAGGTGCATGGGGCCCAGAAGGGCAGCCGGCAGCACCCTTCCCCGCTGCCTCTGCGGGGACAGGCTGCAAGGCAGGTGGCCCTGAGAGGACACCAGGGAAGGGGACTCCTGGCCGTCTTTTTAGGAAAAGCATTTGGCAACTGCTCATCTCTGAGGAGGGGTGGCCAAGTGGGACTCGTCATGGGCCACAGCTGGGACGTCCAAAGGAAGGGTTGGGGACACCCACACTCTCCCCCAGCAGCCACCCCATGAAGAGCACCCCACGCACTGCAGCAGGCAGGGTCACAGCCCGGCCCACACCGCCATGCTGGTCAAAGACCCACAACCTGTCCCTGCCCCTTCTACTGTCAGGGCCGAAGGCAGGCTGGCAGCCCACCCACAGAAGTGACACGGATTCCCAGGGCCACATGTGGGTTACAGGAGGGCAGGAGTGGGGCAGTGTGAGGGCTGGGCGAGGCGTGGGGCAGGGGCCCACCTGGCATCAGCCTCGCTGTAGTACTCTCTTGCCACGATGTCCTCGAACAGCTCCCCTCCAGTTACCCTGCAGTGAAAGCACACAGGGCATGGACTCCGGAGACCCTTGTCATGCAGTCCTCCCCACGATCTCCACTATCATCCACGGCCGCCACCTCAGCACCATCTCTGTCTCCACAGTCACTACCATCACCACCTCTCCCATCACCAACATCACCACCTCCGCCCTAGTATGGCGTCCCTGAGGACAGATGGCTTATGAGGTGTGCACTGCTCCCACAGGATGACATTTGCCCTTTCTGCCTGACAACCGTCCTCTGCCATTGGCGCTACTATACTCCACTATGCATGGGAAAGTGAGCGTCAGAGATCTGTGATTTCCTCTGAGTGGGCAGCACAGGCTTTGCGCCAGGGCTCTACGGTGGCATACCCAGGCCTTCTTACTCTTAAGTTTGGGTCTGAAAAGATCTGGCTCCCCCTCCTCAGACGCTAGAGGCAGAGTTGCACCCCCAGCAGGGGAGGGCCAGGAGATCCAGTGCCTGGATGGGATCTTCCTGGTGGGCCAAGGTCTGAAGGTGTTCCAGGCCTCTCTCTGAGGAGCGCAGAGGCGTTCAGTGTGTGCACATGTGTGTGTGTCAGCCCTACAGCCTCCTGCCCTGGGTCCCCACAAGTATGTGGCCATCAGGATGTGGCCAGGATGGGCCCTGGGGCCAGAGCTGCTGTCTAGAGGCCCTCGAAGGACCCAAAAAGTCCCCAGGGAACTTGGGGGGACTCTAAATCTGCTGGGAAACACTACCTAGAGGCTCCCACCCTGGGAAGGGAGATCTCCCTGCAAAGGGGATCCAGGGGCTCTTCCCAGGCCCCTCCTGCTCCAGCCCTCCATTTCAGCATTTTCTGTTCATTCTGGAAGGTGTGGCTTGGGTCTTTCTCATACTTGTGCCCATAGCTGGGTGACCCACGGAGTCAGGGTGAACCAGGGACTGTTGAACGGCAATTCTGGCACATGTGGGTGCTATGTCCAGCACTGGAGAAAAATAAGAACAAGTCTATGCTGCATGTTAGCATCCCCTGCTCCAGCAGTGGCCCTGAGGATCCCACAGGGCCCCTCAAAAAACCCGCAGGGGAGGTGCTTTTAAGGTCTCCTTTTGCCTCTGGAAGAAGCTTACTAGCCAAAGCAGGGTCACCATCCGGGGGTGGCCATCCTGGGGCAGCAGCTCTGGGCTCAGGGTACCTGCACTGGGTCCAGCAAGCCGTGGGACCTGTTCCCATCCATAATGCGGAAGTGGCAATATGAGGACAGAATGCGTATGCAGGCGTGCATGTGTAGGTGTGCGCACCAAGAGCAGGGAGCAGGAGGGGCAGGCATCCCCTGTGCCGTGTGCATGGCTGGCTCGCACACCAGTGGCAAGGCCTCAGGGTCCTGGGCCAGGGCTTCAGCCCATTTTCACCCCCTGGGCGCCACATAGTCTGTGAGGCCCGACCTCCGACACCACTGCCCCAGACTATGGGGCACCTGTGGCAATTCCAGGCCGGAGCCTCAGCCACAGGGGTCCCTCTTCCTCTGGGTCCCAGTGCTGTGATGCCCCAAGCACGGGGGGCAGGGATACCTGGCGGCCTCCAGAATCTTCAGAGCCTTGAACTGCAAGAGCATCAGGGTGCCTGCAGGTGACACTTCCCAAAGGCCACAGCGGGCTGAAAGGAGGGTGTGCAGGCCTTCCCGACCCTCCGCAGCCTCTGTCCCTACACTACCAGGCCTCAGATCGGCGCCTCCCACAGGCACACGCATGTGCACACACCTTTCTCTCTCACCTTCCAGCTCTTGACACATTCAGCCAACTGTTGGCCACCAGGGGCCCCGGACAGGGTCACCCCTGCCTGGAAAAGAGGCTGGTGGAGTGTGGGGATGCTCGGGGTGACACAGCCTAGCCTGACTCAGCCTCAGGGCAGATTTTCAGGGCATGGCCTTGGCCGGGCAGCAGCCCAGGTCTGATCACCTGGCTGGCAGTGCAAGGCAGGATCTTGTGGGACACCCAGAAGGTGGCTGAGCCTGCAGGGTTGGCCCCATGCAGGCAGAGGCCGCTCAGGCCTGTGCCCCCCACTCCTGTGGATGAGCTGAGAGGGCAGCCTTTGTGAAGGGGTCACCATAGCAACGGCACCACAGTTGGGCTTCCCTGTCCACGGCCACCTAGAGGCCACAGGGGCAGGCCAAGGCCTATGGCCCCCAGCCCAGGGTCTGGCTGCAGCCCCGATTCACCAACAGCTAAGTATAGCACTGCTTAGCGGGAGCTGTCAAGAGCGAAGGAGATGAGATCACCGCTTCTAAATGCAGCAGGAAGCGAGAGGAAGAATTGGCTTGGGCGTTTCTCCTCAGCTACTGCACACATTCACATACACACACACACGTGCACACATGTACATGATACACACATGTACACAGGCGCACATAACACACGTGCACATGGGTGCACACACAGGCACACAAACGTAGCATATATGCATGCATCCACACAAACCACACCTGCACACAGATGCAAACACACTTACACCCATACACGCTCACACAAGGCACACACATGCCCCACACGTATGCCCTGGTGCTCTCATGTGCCCACATGCTCACATACATTCACACACCCACATGTGCACACGAGAACGTGCTTTCCCACTCATGAACACACAGGCTTACGCCAGCCCACAGTGCCCCGTCCCATGTGCCAAGGTGCGGGGCAGAGGGCGAGAGAGTGCTGCCAGCCTTTAAGGAAGGCACACACAGGGTGCCGGTCCTGTCCCAGCCTGCAGGACTCAGGAGGGCCAAGGGAGGCCAGGTGGCCAGGAAGCAGGCAGCACACCAGGGCGTGCTCAGGGAGTGGCTGGATATGGGGCCAGGGAGGCTGCAGCCCCACCCTGTGCCAGCTAGGGCAGAGGGAGAGGGCACAGTTCCTGAGCTTTGACACTTACAGATCGAAGACCAGGTAGTGGAAGCCCTCCTCAGAGATGCTGTCGTGTAGACGCACTGTGGGACAGAGAAGCCGTGAGCCCAGACGACCCACCCAACCAGCCTCCTCCCAGGGACCCCAGGCAGCACCACCCTGCCTGCCCTCAGCCTGTCTCTCCTCTCCTCCACCACAAGGACACAGGAGACCGAGCCCAGGTAGGAGCCTCGAACTCACAGCAGGGCATGGGGTGCAAGGCGCCCACGATCCATCGTCCTCCCTAGCAGTGGTCACGGCCATCAGCACACCCAAGGTGGAGACCCCGAGTTCCAACCCCAGGACCAATGCTCCTGTCTCCTCTGTGGCACTAGCTTCTGGGCTGCCTGCAAAGACCTGAATGCTTTATGCTCCTCATTCTGGACCTGCCCGGTGCAGGGCAGGGGCAGATGAGGACAGGGTGGCCAGCTTGTGCAGGCTGAGATGCCTGCATGGAGCAGGGAACACTCTGGGGGTGACGTGTCTTGGGCCCTGTGCTGGAACCTGGCAGCTCTGAGTTGTGAGTGTTAACCCTGAGGGTGCTGAAGCACAAAGAAGTTGAGTAATCAGCTGAAGGTCACACAGCCCACAAACAGCAGTGCAAGGCTATGAGCAGGGTCAGTCTGGCCCCAGCCCCTCCACTCCTCGGCACAGAGGCCAAGGACTCCTGAGGCCTTGCTGTCCTGGCCCCCAGGCCCTATTGGCTGCATTGCCCGGGGCTGAAGAGCTGCCACCTTCCTCCTTGTCCTACAGGCCCCCAGTGCCCCAGGGAACAAACAGCCCACTCAGCTCCAGCCCCTTCCTGGGGCCCTCTGGCACTGTCCTACTTTCTAACTGGCTGCTGGGGCTCCCTCCTGTCTCTGGTCCTCCCAGTGACCAGCTTGATGGCGTCCTTGGGCCAGAAATGTGGATGTGCCCTCTGGGCTCCGGGCCTTGCCCTACAGACCCCTGGCTCCCCTGGCTCCTCTGGCTCCGGACCAAGGCCTTCCCACCTCAGCCGGGGCTTGGGACCCCCACCCCCCAGGGCAGAGCCGGGCCGCCCCTCCTCTGCCACCTTGTGCCTCAGACAGGACCCCAGCCTCCTGCCTGCTCCACTCCTCTGTGAAGTGGGTGGACAGCGCCTCCTCTCGGCTGTCGTGGATGCGCTGCACCTGTGGGGAGCTCTGGGACATGTCACTGTCCCATCACTGTCTGCGTGTGAGAAGCCAGTGACAGAGGATCAGCTTGAGGGGCCAGGGCCACATAGGAACCTGGGGTGCTTTTCCAAGCCCAGGACAGAAAGACACAGGCAGGGGGGCAGCAGCCAGCCGGACACAAGTGCATGGCCCCTCTCCCAGGGCCGGTGTCCCCTCGGCTCCCCAGTGGGAGGGCCCCCACACCGAAAGGGCCAGCAGAAGGCTGCCTGTGACTCTCGCCCCAGGCTCCCCCTCAGCTGATTTCTGTCCCCAGGCCCTCCTTTCCACCAGGACTTGCACTCCACCCAGGCTGGCCTGTGTCCCCCTCACACACTGCAGGTCCCTAATGCCCACCAGCTGCTTCTCCAGGGCCCCAGGGTGCGGCCAAAGTCCCTGGAGCCGCCTACACATGGGGACACGCTGCTCACGGCTGCCCTGTGGAGCCCGGAAGGGGCCTGTTCCTGCCATCCGTGCTCCAGGGAGGCCGAGGTGTCATCGACACAGTTCCTGGGGTGCTGTGGGGACAGCTCATCCGGAGGGGCTGCCCCGCGCCGCACTCTCTCCTGCTGCAGTGGGATGAAGCCAGGGACGAGGGGCATGGCCTGGGGGTCCCTCCTCCTCACCAGGAAGCAGGGAGACCAGGGATCCGAGCGGGAAGTCAGGGAGGTGCGGATGCCACTCTATCTTCAACATTTTTAACATTTTAAAAATAGTCAGGTGCTTATTTTAATGGCTTAGAAGAAAACCTAACTAACACATGAGACCTGTGAATTCACAGACAGGGCTGAGCACAAAAGTGAACTGTCACAAAATCTATTTAAATAACAACAGTAAGCAAATAATGCTGTACACAGAGGTGCCATAAATAAGGTCCTCGTGGTGTCTTGGACTAGTCTGGGTGCCCTGGGTCGGGGGGACAGGGCCCCAGGGGATGCCCACCCCTCTCTGCTGTGCTCTGGAGCTCCCCACTGTCAGGGACCCTTTCCTTAGGGCTACATCGCAAGGGCCCACAGCCAGGGGTCCTTCACAGCTGTCCTCAGCTGCCCCCTCAGCTCCTAGCAGGCCACCGAGGAGGGACACTAGTTTCAGCCGCGAGACACAGAGGTGAGGTTCGCTGACCTCCAGGGCCCGGCTAGATCAGCCTGAGCTGTGTGCAGAGGGGATCCTGGAGTGGCTGGGTCTCGTGGCTCCTGCTGGGGTGCTGAGGACTCTGCCTGCCCTGCTCTGCTTACTCCCTGTCCCCCAGGCCCTGAGGCAGTGGTAGGTTTGGGACCTGTTCTCTGGACACCCCGTCTGCCCCACAGGAAGTGCCTTCGGAACAGAGATGGGGCCCATGGCAGGGTGTCCTCCTGGGACCTCGCCCAGCATGGGGCAGGGGTCCATAAACATCCAGAATTGTGGATTCTGGAACCTTCCCTGGGGATAGTGTTGACTGGGATTCACATCCAGATGGGGCACAGGCCACCTGGGCTCAGGATAAGCACTCCATGTTTGTCAAGGAGACTGTCTCTGTCACCCTCACTGGGTGGGGGGAGGCAACCCCACCACACTCAGCCCCTGGGGACTCTGGACCCCCGGGGACTCTAAGGCTGAGGACCCCGTCACCAAACTCTCAGGGGCTGTAGCCCTGACCTGGGATCCCTGGCCACCTGAGGGTTTCTTTATTCCAGGGGACCCAAAGGCAGTCAGGCCCATAGCAGGGCCACACCTGCCCTCATCTGTCCAGCTGGGGTCTCTCCCCCGGGGACTCTGCTACTGCAGAACACCATGGAAACCTGGGGCCCAGGCCCCGAAGGCAATGGTGCCCTGGCTCTGAGACCCAGCCAGGTCTAGCCCCTCGCCCTGTACCAGGTGCTGCTGAGGCCACGCCCAGCACCTTCCGACTGCCCAGCCTCCTCCATCCCTGAGCAACAGAGAACCACCCTTGCCTCAGTGTCCCCTTGGCCCAGCAGCTGGGGCGGCCAGCAGGCCCGCGTGTGTAACTGGGGCTCAGGCAGCTGTGAATCCACTCACACTGGGCCCCTCAGTGGACACCAGGCCCACGACCTCTGTGCTGGTCGTGGTGGGTAGAAAACACATGCAAACTTCCCTGGCCTCCTGTGTGTGGGCTTTGAACTGACCAGGCAAAAGTGTCAGCTCCTGGACTGTCACAGAAAGGCACATGGTTCCTTGGAGGTCACCCAGAGTCTCCTAGGACCGAGCCAGCCTGCTCCTGGGTGTAGATCTGCAAGACTGAGCAGGGACTCACATACCAGGCCCTGCTCACAACGGCCAAGGGACAAACAGATACACAATGTGGCACCTCCTTGCCGGGCATTAATCAGCCTTAAAAGGGAAGAAATACTGGCAAACATATGACACACGTGGACCCCGAGGACACCATACAGAGGGAAATAAGCAGCCACAAAAGAGACACACACTATACAATCCATTCCTACACAGTCCCCAGAGTGGCCAGATTCACAGACAGAGGCAGAACAGGGGGTTCCGGGGCCAGAGAGGGGTGCAGGGAGGGGGAAGGGGAGTCTGGTTAATGGGAACAGATCATTTCATGAGTCTCTTTGAGGGTTTCTGTTCCAAAGACAAAAAGGTTTGGATATAGACAGTGCCGACAGGTACGCTGCAGTGTGAGTGTATTTAACGACTAATACTATGTACACTTTGTCATCATTTTAAAAAGGTATTTATTGTACTTCCTGTCTCTCTCTCCCTAGCTCTCTACCTCACACTCCTCCTAGCCTTTGTCTCTCACTGTCCCTCTGTCTCTGTCTCTGTCTGCTATGTGCATCTGTTGAAGGCTCTGGCCCCAGCCAGGCTCCTCTGGGGAGAATCCGGGGCCTCTAGGAGCTGGGCTGATCCCTGGACGGGGCCCTGAAGGGGACCATGGGACCCACTGCTGCTGCCTGGAAGCTCCCAGGGCTTCCTGAACAAAGGGCTCGCATGCACTCTCCCCTCGGTCCCACTCATCGCCACGTCCCTGAACACACAGAAGCTGGGGTCTTCCGTGCTGGCTGGCATAGGTTTGGGGGTCATTCTGCTGTACCCCAGATGACCACAATACTAGGAAACGACCTCAGGAAGTGGGGGGCTCTTACATTTCCTTCCACAAACAAGGGTCTGCCTCAGCTTGGAGCTGGGCCTGGCCCTAGGCCCCTGGCCCCGCCACTCCACTCCATGCAGCTGCCTCAGATAGGCGGGGGCTTCTGGCGTGACTGCCCCTGCCTCCTGCAGGTCCCACAGGGAGCCAGGCACAGGCCTCTGGCACAGGTGAAGACTGGCTGCTCCTGCCCCAGCCTGGCCAGCGGGGCTCTTGCTCTCAGTGCCTGGCGGCCTGCAGGGAGCTTTCTGTTCGGAGGTGGGGCTGGCGGCCCTGGAGTGAGGCTCCTGAGGCAGGGACCCTGCCGTCTCCCCTACAAGTTTCCTCCCGCCCCTCAGAGAACCCCAATCTACAAAGAAGGTTCCTCGTGAACCCTCACTTCTGGGTTCCAGAACGTGCTGTTCCCGAGCCCAGCCCTGACTGGAACAGAGCTCTGGTGGGGACCCCCATGGTCACTGCTCCCAGGCCCAGGCTCAGAGCTCAGGCCAGACTCTGCTTGAAACCAACCCAGATCCATACCGGGCATCCAGCCAGGGCAGGGAGACGTCTTGTTCAAGAACTAACCACAACACACATCCCACGAACAGCCGGTACGCCACACACCAGGGGCTGACAGTCCTCTTTCCTTTGGCGCCTGGGCTGGAAGCGATGTGTCCCTGGTGTCCCTTTTAAACACAGCTTTCTAAGTGCCATCCTGGCAAAAGTGAATGGAGCTCCAAGGGCTGGTAAATCCCCACACCCCTGGGGCTCCACAGGGGAGGGCAGTCACCACGCAAGGTTCTCCAGTGCTCCCCCAGTGTGGGCAAGGCCTGAGCTTGGGGGGACAGGCAGTGGGACACAGGCGCATGAGTGCACACCCTCAGATGGAAACCTGGGAGGTGAGGGTGGCAGGACCTAGCGCCTGGGAGATCCCAGGTGATCTCCTGGATCTCCAATGGGATCCCTACAGCTCCAAGAACCCAGGACTGAGCCCGGCTGCAGGAAGGAGACTGGTAGCTATGCCGCTGGACTCCTGGGGTCCAGGACTTCCAGGCGCACTGCAGCACAGTACAGCTCGCTTCCATCTGACCTGGCTGCAGGCAGGGGGCTTCCAGGTCGCTCACTTGCCCCCTCTTCCTGGTGTGCCCAGCTAGTGGACAGGCCACCAGCCCCGGCTTCTGGACTCAAAACACCCCATGAACATCCTCAAAAATGCCCACTTGCCCTCCTTGGGGGCCGCTCACCGATGTTGGAGTGCTTCAGCAGGCGGCAGATCCGGGCCTCTCTCTCCAGCTTCTGGTGATCTGGGGACACAAAAGGATAAGACATCACCTTGAGCCTCAGCAGCTGGGCCCACGACCACTGTGTCAGGACAGGCCCACAGGGGTGTGCGGCCACTGCCAACTGAGAGAGGATGGTGGAGACCCCAGAACTGAGGGACACGCCCTCTGCTGCCTGGAATCTGGGGCACATACCCAGCTGGCTTTGGTGCAGAGGGGAGAGGCAGGGTGTGGGCCCTGCTAGGCTATCAGCCAGCACCGCTGGGCAGGGACAAGCAGCAGACGCAGGGCAGAGATGGCCAGGGGTGGCAGCGGGTGGACAAAGTTAGGGCTGAAAGTTCCCGTGTAACTCAGGACAGAGTGCCCGTGTGTGATCTGCCCTAATTCCATCTCTTCAGGGCTTTCTGCTGAGCGCATATTTGTCCTTCTAAGGCAGCAGTGGGGTCTGCATAACAGTGTGTCCTCCAAGTCAGGGTGAGGCTGTGACCCCGGAGCTCTGAGCCCCCCCCTCCTCCTCCCCCAATGCTCTGCTTGGCTCTGGGAGGGGGAGACACAGAGACAGCCGGCCATTGCCCACCTGGGCCCCAGGTCCCAGAGGCCAGTGCCTCTCGGGCAGTCCCTCCACGAGACCCCCAGAGGATGGCGCAACTTATCAGTCAAAACTTTCATATCTCACACAGAGCTGACAGGAGGATTTAAAATGTGCACAACAGGGAGATGGAATGTGCAACAGCAAACCAAGAACCCATGGGTGAGTGAAGGGGGACAGCAGCGTGGCCATACCACAGTGGGAGCATATCCCAGCCACCAAGGTGATCCCCAAGGGAAAGGTGACCCAAAGGATCACCCAGTTTGGGCTTTTGTTAGGACCGGGTGGAAACAGGTGGATGACCAGGGGCATCCCCGGGGCACAACCCCTCGTGGGGATTATAAGGAAAAGTGCGAATCTTCAGCACTCAGGACAGCTGCTGCCTCCCGCTGAGACCTGGACCCCCACACCGTCAGCCCCCCCGCCAGGAAAGACAGCTAACCATGCCTACCGAGCCCCAGTGGAGCCGCCTTCCCCAAGGGAACTTCCACAGCCCATCAGCAAGGGAAGAGCGGGCTCCAATTCAGGACGCTCAGAAGGCGTTCAGCCCGGGCTGCAGCCTCCGGTCCCTGGCAGTGCACAGGGAAAATTGTCCACCTGGTCTGGCTGACTCCGGGCTCAGCTGCCTTGGGGCGCGAGTAATGTGGTCTAGGGACACAGGCTGCTTGTGCAGCCATGCGGCCGACCTGTCTGGGATGCATCCAGCAGGTGTTCCTTCCTGCCCCCCGACAGGCCCTCATCCTCCCTGTGCTGCACGCCTGCTCCCATCTGCCTCCCTGCAGGGGCCTGGCACCCACCTGGAGCTACTCAGAGCCCCCAGGTGGGTGGAGATGGGCCCCACCCCGAGGTGCTGCTGCACCCCATTTCCTCATCTGCACCAAGCAAGTCCCTGCCACAGTGGGGTCTGAGGCACCTGGAGACAGGGCAGTGCTCATGGTGGCCCCAAAGTAGCCAGGTGTCCACACTGATGTGAAGCGTGGAGAGCGAGCCCTGGGTGCAGCCACTTCCAGAGCTCAGGCTCAGAGAGAACTACACCCCAAGGTGACGAGGCTCACATGTGTGGGCTGGTACCAGGCCGGAGGGTGACGGGCTCATTCACTGTGGCAGACACAAACACACACAGGCACACACATACACACACCATGCACCACACACCTGCTGCCCGGGAGGAGCTGGTGCAGAGAAACTCGGGGAAACGCATGCTATTTAATCCTCCTACCAGAGACGCAGCCCACAGATAGACTACAGCATTCATTTACACCATCCGAGCGCTTATAAAAAAAAAACCCAAACAAAAAAATACCAAAAACAATTTTACTCAAAGATCAGAGCCTGCAATTATCCATCCGCCTGCCTGGATTCTAATGATAGCACAGTGCCCCGAGATTCCACCCTCGGGGAAAGCCGAGGCCGGAAGCTTTTCTAGGTGATTCGGCCCACATCCCAGAGCCCAGGAGCACAGTGCATGCGCAGCACTGGTCGCCGGCCATCTGCTTGCACCTGGGGGGGACAAGGTCAGCCTCGTGTGTGACGCCGAGGGCTAGGAGTGAGAGGCTCAGGTCACAGAGGGACAAGGGAGGGGTGGTGGCCCCAGCTGACCCCGGCCAACCACCCGAGTGACTCACGCAGGGCTGTCGGTGGCTCCCAAGCACCGGGCACAGCCTGTAGCTCACAAGGGCCTCCAGGGCCTCTGGTCACTGGGGGGCTCCGAGACAAGCACCACAAGGTCTCCACTGCAGGCTGCTGGGTGGCAGTGGCCTCCACACACAGCATAGGCCCATCCACTGCTACAAACATGGCCTCCATGGGGACAGCAAGGCCAGTGTTTTGGAAGAAGGGGAGACACGGGAGGGCAGGTGACAGCCGGATGACAAGACCACCCTTCTCCCTCATTGACTCTCTGGTGGCCCACCTGCAGCAGCAGGACCACAGCAAGCCACTTGTGGTGACACAGGAAGGACACACTCTGGGTTACGCCTGCCTGGCCATCACATCAATTCAGCTCAAGCCAGCTTTCAGGGACAGGGTCGCAGCCCCCCAACATCAGCCACTGCTGCTCCACAGGCCCTGGAGAGCTTGGCCTGAGGCACCCAGGAGTCAAGGAGGGGAGTGGGAGCATCTCTGGGCTGTCATGGCGTTGGCACCTTAAAGGCGTCAGGCAGGGCTGCCCCAAGCTGTGCAAGGCCAAGGCGCAGGCACACAGTGGTGACTGCCCTGGAGCACCTGCCACATAATGGCACCATCTGCTCTGCGCAGGCGACAGGTGATGACAACCTGTTTAATTCCAAGCGTGCCCTGAGAGGCCAGGTGTGGAGGGCTGGGGTTGGGGGACAGCCCCCTTCAATGTCCCAAGACACAGTGGCCTCGGGGACTCCCACATCCTGTGTGAACAGCACCCAGAGGCCATGGCCACAACCCCAGAGGACAAGCTGAGGGGACCCTTTGGTAAATCTCTTCCAGTCACTCTCCATCACTTCCTCTTCCTTTCCACAGAGACAAGAGGGCGTCTGGGTGGAGCTGAGAGGCTCCCCGCCCACAGAAGCCATCCTCCCTGGCAGGGTGACTCACAGCAGGGAGGGGAGGGGGTGGCAGCAAGAGGAGGCAGGGAGAGGAGCCAGCGAGCAGGGGACAGGAGGAGCGTGGGTGGCACCCAGCCCTGCCAGCTGCAGGCTGTCACAGGAGGATACCAGGCGGGGCAGAGCAGGGCAGGAAGGGGAGACAGAGGCCCATGAACGGGAGGGCCCGCCTCCCGCTGTCTGCACACCCAGTCCTGGGCCCTGGGACTGTGGGGACCCAAGCCCAGGAGGAGCCCTGAGCCTGCGGCCACATGGCCTGGGACAAGTGATGCCCCTCCCCATCCACAGGGACGGCGTGGGGCTGTGCTGAACTCTAAGTGCTATTGTGTGGAGGGTCTGAGCAGTGCCTGGGGCACAGTGGGCCCTGTCACTTCAAGAAGCTGCAGTGCCCCCACAGGCCCTGTTAGCACCAGAGGTCTTCAGCTACATCTGAATCCCTCTGGGGGGCTCAGTTTCCCTGTTAAAAGGGCAGGGTAGGTGCCATGTCCCGCACTGCTGTACCCATCCCCAAGGAGTTGGGCCTGTGTCCATCCAACTCTGCAGCTGCAGTGGGGCCAGGATCCCTCCTGTACCCTCAGCACGGGGCCGGGCTGTCGGCCCAGGTGACCGCACTGTCACATGAGGGGAGGGGTGGGTTCTGCCTCCTTCCCACCTGCCTCAGCCACCTGCACCACCCAGGGGCCTGAGAGATTTCTGGAACCTCGGATGGCTCGGGTGTCCTTATCACAGCCAGCAGGCCCCTTGAAGCACTGAACCCACTGCAAAGCCAAACCTCTGCACTGTGTTTTCAGCTCCTGGAGGGCACCCCCCAGGCAAGGCCACTCCAGACAGTGGGCACAGCTGCAAGGCGGCCAGGTGGAGGTGGGGCTGGGCCCTGTCAGGGTTGGACATACCGCGGGAGCCAGGGGCCACCTCCCCATGGTCCTCCCACGAGGCTTCTCCGAGGGTGTCAGGGAGATGGGGGGGGGGCAAAGGTGGAGGTGACGAGGAGGTGGGAGGTGGGGACAGACACTCCCCTCCCCCTGGTCCAGCATGGGGTCCCTAAGAGCATGTGTCAGTTTAAGCTACCTCCTGAGGGGGGAGCTCTGCAGCCAGCTGAGGAGGTACAGGGTGGCCCTCCCTGTGGCTTCCGGTGTGTGTTTTGTTTTAAGAAGGAAAGAGGCAACCAGCAATTAGCCCGACAGTGGGAGCCAGCAGCCACATGCCAAGGGGAGGTGTCTGCATGCCTGTCCTGCAGCTGCCTGCCACCCCACTGGGACAAACAGAGGGCGCAAGGCTCTTGAGGGACGGGACAACCCCTGTGGGGTGCACCCTGCCCCCTGCATGGGGACATCGCCCCCCATGGTGCACAGGCGTCGCACGAGGACCCAGCATGCAGGCCTCGGGCACATGTGGTTACACCGGGGCCATGAGGCGGGGGTCTCCACTGCTGCCTCTCCATGGGGCCACTGTCCCAGCAGTCACATCCCCTCTCAGCACTCTCTTCAGGTTGAGAACCATCTCCAGGCAGAGATGTGGCCTGGAACTCTGGCTCACTCGGCCAAGCATGGCATTTGGTGTGAGGCCGAGGCTTCGGCCCGAAGTTAAGGCCTGAATGGTGTGCTGCTTTCCTATCCGAGAAACAGAGGCTCAGCCATGACCCTCCCACCTCATGTCTCCACGGATATGACGCTCTCCTCACCCGGGACCAGGCAATGAGCCCAGCGGTCCCTGAGCAGCGCTGTGGCTTCCCGCAAACCAAGAGATTATCCAGATGGACCAAACACATCCCTCGGTGGGCACCGGGCCACTTCTCTGCTCTGAAAAGTCTGCACCCCCAGCCCTGCACGTTCAGTCCATCCAGAGCAGCCAGCAGGGGG